CTCGTTTTGAGCCTATGAGATGTCCCAACATTGTGACTAGCAAGCAAATCGACTAGAGCTTATGAGAAAATCGATCTATATTTTATGAGTTGGTTTGTTAATGATGCATAGAATTATTACGTTGTATATATCACCTCATGTCGCGTTTAATAAATGAGTATATGTGAGCAAATACGTCTCATATATGAAATATCAGGTTATTACATGTATCATATATGACATATAAATATTAGGGTATTTATTTAATAAATTATCTTAGAATTAAACTCAAGCCGAACTTTCGATCTTAATGATGAGTAAAGATTTGATAAATGAGTTGGCTCGTGTTCGACTCGACTCAACTCGGTTATAAATGAGCCAAGCTCGAGTTCGACTCATTTATAAACGAACCAAATATGAACAAGGCAAAACTCAGTTCGACTCGGCTCATTAACAACCCTAGTAGTGACTACTGAGACCACGAGAGCACATAACTCTCTCTAGCCTGCAAGAAGTAGCTTGGCACTCCATAGTCAAATTAGACATGACAAATTGAGAATTTCCACCTGATCCGTCCGAAATTATTTGTGAGCTGGAAGGGACGAGTATTAATCTTAGTTTCGACTTGATTTGTGCCGATCCACTTTATTTTCAATCTGTGTTGTCTAAGTTATTGAACTTCTATTTGACGTCCTATATTTTTTGCTTACACGGGAGGCAAAAAGCCGCAGAAAAAGAAAGGAACATAGGGGGAGAGGGAGTTACAGAATTGGAGTAGCTCTGGCCGAGGCTACCACTTCTCTAGGAAAAGTTTGGCCTCTGATGTCATCACTAAGGATAAAGTTGAGCCCTTGGGGAGGTAAATCCAAAACACACTTTCCATAGGGATAGACGAGACTGTGCTTCGAGAGCCAGTCCGTGACTCTATTCCCTTCGCGGTAAGTGTGAACTAGCTTTACCAACCAGTCTTGAGCTAACCTCCGTCTGATCACGGTCAGAATAGCTGCCTGAGGATGAATCGGATCGTTTCTCTTCTCTATAAGCTGTAGCGCCAACTGGGAGTCTGATTCTACAATGAGAGTTCTGCTGCCAGCCTGCCAGGCCACACCCAACCCATGATAGATGCCCCACAGTTCAGCTTGAACCGCCGAACAAGTTCCGAGGTTAACGACAAAGCCTTTATTCCAACGGCCGAGGTGATCCCTCAAAGCTCCACCTGCACCTGCCGGTCCCTGTGTCCCGTTAGCAGCTCCATCAACATTCATCTTCATCCATCCCGCCGGAGGGGGAATCCATCCAATATCTCTGAGCGTGCGATGAGCTGGAGCTGAGCAGCGCCCGAGAACGTCCATCGGTGCCATCCAAGCTTTGTGCCATAAGTTCGCCTTAATCTTGATTGCCTGGGTCAAGGAGGGTGGTGACAGAGTCTTGTCGCTCCCTTTGAAAACACCCTCATTCCTGTTCTTCCAAAGGCTCCAAATCGCAATGCTGAAGAAGGCTTTCCAAGGGGTCTCAAAACCCGGCGTCTCCTCCGTCTGCAGATTCTCCATAAGCCACTGCCTGAGCTGCATACTGAAGAAGTCGCCTTGCTTCTCTGTGGGGACGGTGCGCGCCCAAAAGAAAGCCGCAGGAGGGCAATCTCTGAAAATGTGAAGACTGGTTTCCTCTTGAGTCTGGCACCTGTAACAAAAAGGAGAGGAAGTGATTTTCCTTTTAACCCGCTGTACATTACAACTCACCTTATCGAGCGCCACCAGCCACAAAAAACATCGGACTCTCTCCGGGACTGGAAGACTCCAGATATTCTTCCACAGGCTAATTGGCTCGCCAGCTGTGGGCTGTTGAGTGAGCTGATAAGCACTTTTGGCTGAGAAGTTGCCATCCGAAGTGGGGTGCCAAAAGAGGACATCGCTCTCTCCCGTCAGTGGATCGACCGCTCGCGCCGTGATTTTGTGGATCACACTCTCCGGAAGGAAGTCTTCAAATTTTTCTGTTAGCCAGGCTCCTTCTTCATCCACATAGTCAGCAACCATGGCGTTCATCTCCTCCTCCGGGATTGGGCTGATAGCCACTTCCTTTAGAGGGACCTGCAAAATCCAAATATCAGACCAGAAGCGGGTGAGATTTCCTCTATGAATGTTCCATCCACAGCCCTTTTCAGCAAATCCCCAGCTTTGGAAATGCTGTTCCAGGTAAAGGAACTTCCCTTTAGAGGTTTGATGATGTCAAGATTCTCCCTGCCCTTGCCATATTTCGATCTCATTAGCTGAGCCCAAAGAGTCTCTTTCTCTGTCAGAAGTCTCCACCCGCACTTAGCTAACATTGCCAGGTTGACTTCTCGCGCAGGCCGCAGTCCGAGTCCTTCCTGCTCCTTCGGAAGGGTCAACTGCTGCCATCTCACCAGGTGGAGCTTCTTTTTTTCTTCTGAATCACCCCAGAGGAACCCACGGTTAACTCTATCCAGCGACTTGCAGATCGTTTTGGGCATAAGCTCCACCTGCATAGGATACACAGGTATGGACGCAGTAACTGATTTAACAAGAGTCAAACGGGCAGCAAGAGAGAGTTGCTTAGCTTTCCACAGAGCTAGTTTCCTCTGAATTTTGAGAAAAAGGTCCTGATATCTGCCCCGAGTCACTCTGCCATGAATTGCCATGACCCCGAGATATCTGCCAAGATCTACCGTCAGGGGGATTTCCATACGCGCGCTCAGGGATCTCGCCTGTCTTCTGCAGATGTTCGCGGAAACGAACATGGCTGATTTATGAAAATTCACCCTTTGCCCAGAGCTGCTACAGAAGTCATCCAAGCACTGTTTAATAATTCTGATCTGCGACCCCCTGCTTCTGCAAACAACACAAGATCATCGGCAAAAAACAGGTGAGAGAGAGGCGGGCCATCCTTGGACAGCTTAAGCGGCCGCCAAAGCTTATCCTGAACAGCCCGATCTATCCGGTGGGACAAACGCTCCATGCATAAGACAAAAAGGTAAGGGGATAGAGGATCTCCCTGACGAACCCCTCTGGAAGGGGTGATGGGTTGGGATAGCTCTCCATTCCAGAGAAGGCGCATTCTGTTATGCTCCACGCAGTACATGATGCACCCTATCCAGAAGCTGGGGAGCCCCATTTCCTTGAGAGTGTCTCGCAAGAAGTCCCACCTCAGACGATCGTAAGCCTTCTCTAAGTCGATTTTCATCACAATCCCTCCTTTTTTCCTTTCTTCTTCCGAAGAGTGTGGAGGACCTCCTGCAAAACAATGATATTATCGGTGGTTTGACGACCCGGGATGAAGCTGCTTTGGCGGGGGGAGACCAGCTTCCTCATGATTGGTTTCAGCCTGTTGGTAATGGCCTTCGTGATCGCTTTCAGGCAGACGTTATTAAGAGATATGGGTCTGAGCTGGGACGCCATTTCCGGGTGCTCCACTTTAGGAATGAGGACCACCGTCGAGTCTGTGACACTCTCCGGAAGACCACCTGCATTAAAAAAATCCATAGCCATGTTAATCAGCGATTTACCCACAACTCTCCACTCCCGCTGGTAGAAGGCTGCATGGAAACCGTCAGGGCCCGGCGCTTGAAAGGGCTTCATCTCATGGATCGCCCGGTAAATGTCCTCGGCTCCAAACGGTCTCAGCAGCGCGGTAAAATCTTCCTGGCTAAGGCGGGGGAAAGCTCCTCTGGGCATGAGATCCTCATAGTTGTTGTCGTCCTGCACAAACAGCGAAGCAAAAACATTAAAAACCCAATCCGCCAGCTCCTGGGGATCAGAGATCCATTCCCCATTAGCTCCTTTGAGGCTGTTAATGTTGTTCCTGCGCCTGCGGATGATCGCCTGATTATGGAAGTAACCAGTATTCCGCTCTCCCTGCTGAACCCATTTTTCCCTTGACCGTTGATACCAGAAGAGCTCCTCCTGCTCGAGAACCTCGTCCAACTCTCTCTCTAATTTGGTTTGAAGCTTGAAGAGACCCAAGGAAAAAGATGTGGCCATCTTTTCCTGTATCCCATGGATACGGGCCATCAGCCTCCTCTTCTTATGGAAGATGCTCCCGAAAGAAGTTTTATTCCAGTGGTTGAGGTTGGTCGCCATCTTCTCAAGGGCAGCCGGCAGGCTAGCCTGGTGGTCCCATCCTCCCTCGACAACCTGGTCAAAAACATTACTAGTTAGCCAAGCCGCTTCAAAACGAAAAGGACGAGTAACAGAGGAGTTGACTCCCTGGTTTCCAATGATGGTAAGAATAGGGTGATGGTCCGAGTGGAGGCGGGGAAGATGCTTGACGGAAGTATTCGGGAAGCACGAGTTCCACATAGTATTGCAGAGGCTTCTATCGATGCGGCTAGCCTTGTACGTGTTGGGGTTGTCCCCTCTTGTCCAAGTGAAGCGCGGGCCTGAGAAGCCAAGATCAATCAGTTCTGCCTGATTTACTCTGTCACTGAAGACTCTGCATTTATAGAGAGTGGAAGGGGAGGAGTGGCCTGATTTCTCCTCCGGCTTCAGGATGGCGTTGAAATCCCCGGAGAGAAGCCAAGGCAGATCGTTCGATTGGCTGGTATGATGGAGAGCTCGCCACAAACTGTGCTGCTGAGACTGATGGGGGCTAGCATAGACTGCAGTAAGCAACCATTTAGGAGAAGACCCAGCTGAGACTATAACCGACAAATGTTGAGAGCACGCAGAGAGCACTTGAAGCTGGAAAACAGCAGCATTCCAGCAGAGCCAGATGCCTCCTTTTCTCCCCTCAGCTTCTACTCTCATGATGTTTGGGAATCCCATCCGCTCACAAATTTTGTTGGCAGATCCTCCACTCACCTGCGGTTCCAAAACAATCAAAAAGTCAGGATTATAATTCTTGACGATTAGCCTAAGAGCTCTGGAGGATGCAGCGCTACCCGCACCTCCAATGTTCCAGGCAATGATTTTGCAATTTAATAAAGGACTAACAGACATGGCGGAGAGAAAAATTAAAAGAGAACAAAAGAGGGGCAGGAAAAGGCGAGCAGCCGAGAGGGTCCAAAATCAGATGGAGGAGGGCTGAATGGCCTTCTCCTTTGCCGCCGAGATGCTGTCGCCGGGAATGGATTCAAGAACTTCGATTCCCTCTGCCCGGTTGGCCGCGCCAGTCCACGCTTCGATCTCTTGGAGCGTTAGCGCCGCCATCTTCGATCGTGCCTTGCTTTTCCTTTCTTTTACCGGCGTCCAGATTTGAAGCGCCTTTGCCGCCATCGGTCTCGACGCTTTGCCCGGCGATTTACTTTTCTTCCGTTGCTTTTTCAGACCTTTGGTGCGAGCCGAAGCAGATGGCGAACTTTCCACTACTGGTTGGTCGGCATTTTCTTTCGGTTGGGCCGGAATAACCAGTTGTATGGTCGTTCCTTTTGCGCTGGGTAAGGTTGTCAAAGAGGGAGAGCTTGGGGCCTGATCCAACCCAGCAAAGAGCACTTTCCGAGGGCTAGAAAGTTGCATGGGCTTAGTGCCTGATCCCGACGGCCCATTATTCTTAGAGGGAGCGTTTTTGGGCCTTGACGAGTTGGAATGCTGTTTAGGAGGGACTGGGCCGAGAATGCTTTTCCCTCTTTCTTTACCGTACCCATCCTCTGATCTGTCTTTCCCCTTTTTCCCTGCCATGGACGCACCATCCTCTGATCCATCTTTCCCCTTTTTCCCTGCCATGGTCCCCCGATCTTTGTCTGATTTATTTCCGCCATTTCCTCCTTCAGCCCGTTGAGGCCCCGCGCGATTTGCTCCCTGGGAAAGTTCGGCTGTGGCGTAGCCCTCTCTCATGGTGGCCTTTCCATTTCCGCCCTTAACTTGGTATCCGCTGTCATTATTGGAGGAATCGGAATTTCCTTTTCTTGTGGTGCTATTTCCTCGCCGCGATTTTCGGGTAACAAGCATCCAAGGTCCGAATGTTGATTTCTCTTCCGGCGCGGTAGTCGTTTCCGGCGACGGCGACGGCGAGACCCCAGCCACCACCAAGCTTAGCTGCGGAGGAGAGGGGGGTTTCAGGTTGGGGCAGGTCTCCTTAGTGTGGCCGATTTTCCCACATTCAAAACAGCAAACCGGTAGATTTTCATACTCCAAGTATTGCCAGGCTCCATCAAGCCGAACTCTGGTCACCAGTGGCTTTGCTAGATCGATTTCCACCGCAATCCTAGCGAATCTTGCCCGCTGTTGATGAAGGGTGTGATAATCAAGCTTGATAGTGCGTCCGATCATATTCCCCAGCGAGAATAGCACTTCCTTATGGTAGAAGTGGACCGGGAAAGCTGGGAGCTGGACCCAGATGATCATCGAGCTCGGGAGCTTATCAGAGAGACGAAATTCTGGTGTCCATTGTTGGAAAAGCAAATAGTGGTCGAAAATCGTCCAAGGTCCCTCTGTGAGAACTCGGAAGTAGTCCCCGTCATTGCTGAGTTTCACCATAAAACATTCAGATCCGAGGAGCATGACCTCCATTGATCCTGTGGGTCGCCATAGAGCACGAAGCTTATTGTTAAACGTAGTGAAGGATATCTGGAGCCCTAAGGTGCGCACCACCAAAGATCGCTGCCAGGGTTTGCTTAACTTGGATCTGAAACTGTCGGAAACTTTCAGCTCGGGTTCCCCGTTGAAAAAACCTTGAATTAAATCATGTTCGCCGACTGGTGTCCAGGAGACCATCCCCGCAGAGGGGCTGGCAGGAGCTCCGGTGACTGCACTCGCATAAGAAATAGGTCCTGTCTTCGAAGCTCCTTCATCGGAAAGGTTCGGTTGATCATCAACCGCCATGGACTCGCTCCCTGGGGTGTTTCCTTCGATGATCGAGATTGAGGTCGCAGTTGGAATACATTGCAGAGGGACCGGTGTCACTCCTTGGTCCGGCGGCCTATCAGACGGGTTGAGATTCCCTGTCGCCGGTGGGGTTTCAGAGAGCTTTTCAGAGAGCATTTCATTTGACGTCCTATATTGAGGATATACAAGTATCAAGGAAACCAATCAATAAATCCACTCATCCAATTATATTTGAATTTAAAATGATTTGGATTAGTTGAAGGTTTTAGTGAATGGAATGAATAAGTGGATTGGACTCAAATTACCACTTTTACTCCTAAGAGATTTTCTATTTAATATTGTCATATTTTCTATTTAATATTGTCAATCATAACTAGGGATGTGTAGTAGTTTGGTCCATTCCACGGGCTCAAACCAAATATAATGTGATCTTATCATTGATCTCATGAATGGTACTTTCGGGTTGAAACATTCTGGCTAAAGGACCCTGAGAGTGCAGCTATCGTGCATAAAGCCTGCTGTGAAAATCCTAATGGTGATTTATTGTCCATCCTTGCAAGCTGCAGGTCTGAGTTGTTGAGTTGGAGCAGGAGGAAGTTTGGGGATTTAAAAAGAAAAATTGAGAAAATTGACAATAGTCTCAAGTCTCTCAAGTACAGACCAAGAACCACCATGGTGGTGGAGCAGAGGAAAGCTTTGGAAAAAGAGAGAAGTGATCTTATTCAACAGGAGGAAGAGTTGTGGTTACAACGATCCAGAATTGCATGGCTTAAAGGAGGCGACAAGAACACAAAAATTTTCCATGCCAAAGCTACGGCTAGACGAAAGCGAAACACGATCAGGATGCTTAGAAATGAAGCTGGCAGAATGTTTAAGGGCCAAAGGGAAGTCTCTCAGTGCATCTATAACTACTATCAGACCCTATTTACCAAAGGTAATACTCCAATGACTGATATCATTATTAATACGCTTCAACAGAAGGTTACCCCAGCTATGAATGGGCTTCTTCTTAGGCCAGTTACTGGAGAGGAGATAAAGCAGGCTCTGGACCAGATGAGCCCAAACAAAGCGCCAGGATCTGACGGTTTTTCTGCAGGTTTTTTCCAGCAAAATTGGAGTACCATTGGGCCAAAAGTGATTGAGACGGTTTATGACTTCTTCAATAACGGTGTTCTGCCCCCAGACCTAAACCATACACTTATTGCCCTTATCCCAAAGGTGAAGTCTCCTAGCACGGCTAAAGATTTTCGGCCCATAAGTCTTTGCCGGGTGGTGTACAAAATTATTTCAAAAGTCCTGGCCAATAGGCTTAAAATTATCCTGGATGATCTTATCTCCGAGGAGCAAAGCGCCTTTGTTCCAGGAAGAAGTATCACTGACAATGTTATCATTGCTTTTGAATGTTTTCAGTTTATGAAGCAGAAGGAAAAAGCGAAGGAAGGTTATTTTGCGGCCAAGCTTGACATGGCCAAGGCTTATGACCGTGTGGAGTGGGGTTTTCTGGAAAAAGTCATGAGGAAGCTTGGTTTTGATGAAAGATGGATTTCTCTGGTTATGAAGTGTGTCTCAACAGTTACCTATTCGGTTTTGGTGAACGGCCATAAGACAGAAACTTTTTCCCCGTCTAGAGGACTTCGACAAGGGGACCCTTTGTCCCCCTATCTGTTTCTTTTATGTGCAGAAGGGCTGTCTACACTAATCAAAAAGGCTGAAGAGGATGGAACACTACACGGTATTCAGATTCGAAAGAAGGCTCCTGTGGTTTCCCACTTACTGTTTGCTGACGATTGTGTGATTTTTGGTAAAGCAAATCTAAAAGAATGCGACCAGCTCAAGGAGATCTTGGAAGTTTATGCTAAAGAGTCAGGACAGCTCATTAATTTTAGCAAGTCCGAACTGTCTTTCAGTAAGAACATCCGGGTGAGTCGAAGACTTGAGTTTTGTGGTACCTTGGGCATCAAAGAGGTAGAAAAACTGCCGAGGTATTTGGGACTCCCGACTGTTGTAGGCATATCGAAAAAAGCTCTTTTGAGGATATTAAAGAACGTATTAGAAGGAAATTAAAGGATTGGAAAGGCAGGACGATGTCCCAAGCAGGAAAGGAGATAATGATAAAAGCTGTGGCCCAAGCCCAGTGCTTATACCCGATGTCAGTTTTTCAGATCCCGGATGGCACACTAGCTGAGATTCAGAAGCTTATTGCAAATTTTTGGTGGGGGCAGAAGGGAAAGGAAACAAAAATTCATTGGTTGGATTGGGACGAGCTGTGCGATGATAAGGAAGATGGAGGAATTGGATTCAGAGATCTCAGGGCCTTTAATTATGCAATGCTCGGGAAACAAATATGGAACTTGATGAACAGGCCACATTCGCTACTGGCTAGGGTATTAAAAGCCAGATACTATCCAAAAACTGATATCCTACAAGCAAAGCTTGGTTACCAGCCAAGCTATATCTGGAAGAGTTTAATGGGTGCAAAAGACAAGATTGAAGAAGGGTTCAGGTGGAGAGTGGGCAATGGGGTCTCTATAGACATTTGGAAGGATGCTTGGATCCCGGGAAAGGCTTTCTACCAGGCTGACCCTCCCCCTGATGGGGAGACTCCTGAGATAAAGGTTAGTGCTCTGTTCGATGAAGTCTATGGTGGATGGGATGAATCAAAGCTGAGGAATTTATTCTCCAGAAGCGATCAAGAACTGATTGCAAAAATCCCTATTCGTTCCCCCCCCCCCCCCCCCGGTGGAAGATTCAAGGGTCTGGAAAGCTACTGAAAACGGAGCTTACTCAGTTAAAACTGCATACCACTATGTTCGAAGTCAACAACAACACACTATGACCCGACTTCACAATAGAGACAAGGAGGATTCAGATTTTTGGAAAACCCTATGGAAGTTTCAGATCCAACCTAAGGTTCGGATCTTCTTATGGAAAGTAAGCAAGAACATCCTACCTGTTGGGGTCAATATCGAGGAGTGGATCGTGAACGCTGCTCCGGACTGTCCTTTTTGTAATTTTCCAGAATCCCAAATGCATGCCCTGCGAGAATGCGACTGGGTCCGAAGGCAGTGGAGGAACTGTGCAGCAAAAGACCTGTATGAGATGGGAGAAGGAAGGACATGCATTGATTGGCTCAAAGAGGTTTTCAACAGTTCATCCATAGACCAAATCCAAAGATTCTGCTCAATTATGTGGTTCCTATGGAAGGAGAGGTGCAATCACAAGTACAACAATCGGAAGCTAGAAGAAGAAGAAATTGTACCTCGAGCTTTGGGATGGCTGTCCTCCTACTTGGAAGCTCAACCCAACTCTGCTTCGGCCCTCATGCCTGGTCTTCTTGAGAACAAAGCTCCGCCGGGAAGAAGTTGGCTTCCTCCTCCTGAGGGGATCTACAAGTTGAATTCGGATGCTGGGGTGATCCAACAGCAGGGAATCGGACTGGGCGCCATTATTCGTGACTGGAGGGGAGGTTTCGTTGGAGCTACGGTGAAGAGAGAGAAAGGGATCTATCGTCCGATCGAAGCCGAAGCAAAGGCGATGATGATGGGTTTACGCGAGGCCAATCGAAGATCCATCAGCCCGTTGATTATGGAGTCGGATTGCCAAGTGCTGGTGAACTTACTGAACAGTGGGGAGGATGATTTCACTGAGATGGGGATTTTGCGCGATGAACTAAAGAGGATGGCAGGGGAGAATGAAGCCATTTCTGGTACGAAGGTGAAATGGGTTTTTTCGCCACGAAAGACTAACTCTCTGGCCCATTGGTTAGCCCATTCTGGTTCGGTTTGGAATAATCAAGTGGTATGGGTTGATGACCCTCCCCTTACCTTACTTTGTATGGTTGAGACTGATTCGGGTTGTATCTCTGTGGATCAGGTTTGATCCTTTTTAATATTATTAACCAGGTTTCCTATCAAAAAAAAAAAAAAAAACATTGATCTCATGAATTTTATAAATACTAAATAAATGGATCAAAGTGAAATTTGAACCAAACTAAATCATACCAAACATAATGATGGTTTAATCCTTCACCCTAAAATATATTTTACTATTAGATTGCGATAGTCATGAGTATGATCCGACACACCCTATTCGCGATTCTCATTAGTTCGATCCGAACATACCCCTAATTGTCCCGATGAAAATGTTAACACACAAAGCGATGCAACAATTTCTAACAGCATAATCACACCAAGGGTCTTGGGGCAATGTGGAAGTAGAGCTAGCATTTGAAGTTTAGGTCAAGATACAAGCGAAGCAGCCAAATTGTTCACATGAATACTTCTCACAGCCAAATCAATGGTCTCAAATCTCTCCAAGTAGCAAAAATCATCATAACTGATCACATTTATATCTCCACAGAATTTCTGAAGGCAGATTGTGTCCATCAACCAAATTTTGCTCAATAACTAGGAGCTGCTTGTTGCTTTGAGACCAAACTAAGAATCTAAAAGCTACCACCCCTGAGAGCAAGCACAAGATGAAGCACTGAGCCACCTTCAATGTTGTACTCTTTGGCTGTCTTGTCATCTGCAAGCTGCTTCCCCGCATAGATGAGCCTGAAATACGCAGAGCACGAAAAAAACCCACGTTAAGTTTGCCCTAAGAAGACACGATCATAAGGAATGAATGGAAACAATGGTGGTGGTGCTGCTGCTCCTAGTGAGCAAGAGTGTCATTTCAGGCATGGAAAGTAAAGAGAACTGCAGACTAGTGATTGATTTTAACCTCTGCTGAATTGGGGGAATTCCTTCCTTCTCTTCAACCCTTTCCTTGATCCTATCAATGGTATCGGTAGGTTCGATATCGATCTCGATCTCTTTCCCTGTCAGAGTTTTCACCTTGATCATAGTCCCTCCCCTGAGCCTGAGCACCAGGTGAAGAGTCGACTCCTTCTGAATGTTGTAGTCAGCAAGGGTTCTTCCATCCTCCAATTGCTTCCCGGCAAAAATCAGCCTCTGCTGATCTGGTGGAATCCCTTCCTTGTCCTGACAATTCAGTACCCACAACAAAAAAGAATGGAGCTTTTCAGCTTTGGCAACACAAACTAAACAGTCCAAAAGCAGAAAAACAAACAATGAAAGCGCCAAACAGCTCGTTAACCCAGGCAGAGACCAGGCAAAAAAAAAAAAAAAAAAAAACTATTCACGGCCAGGAAAGCCAAACCCTAACTTTCCAATCAATTAACAAAGCAAAGGCCCAAGCTTTCATCAAGTTCAATCAGAGAAGACACAATATCTACCAGAGATTCGACAACAATTCGAGATAAGAAACAAAACCCACGAAGCAATCGCCGGAGAAGGGCGGAATAACGAAGAACAGACAGCGTAATCAGTAAAAAAAAAAAAACTAAGGGGAGACCTGAATCTTAGCCTTGACATTGTCGATGGTGTCGCTGCTTTCGACTTCGAGAGTGATGGTCTTGCCGGTCAAGGTCTTGACGAAGATCTGCATCTTATCTCTCCTCCTTCTCCTTGGGTTGTTTCGAGGAAGCAGAGAGAGCTTCGATCACTGGTTGGGGAATTTCGATTTTGTGCGAGTGGAACGAAATATATATATATATAGAAAGACAGTGAGACGCGAAAGGCAGCGAGACGGCGAGGAGCTGAGTGAGGGAGGCGGTGGGATTTTTGTTCCGCTACGTCGCGTAACACTTAAGAGAATCTTTGTTTATGAATTTTTTTTTTGTTAGTGTTTATGAATAATTTACGGATGAGGTTGGGTGTGGAAACTCTTTGGTCTCAAATTCAAACTCAAGAGAATCGCGCTTTAATAGTAAGAAATTTTCATGGATCAAGGATGGATTATCAGTGTATTTGATCTGGTCCAAATATCATTTCGTGAAATCAATAATCAGAGCATAGTATACTCGTTTGATGCGGTCCAGTCCAAGTATTGATTTGGTCCGGTACGATTCTGTACGGACTAAACCGTTGTACACCCCTAAAATTCCCAATCTAAAATGAAGAAAAAAGAAGATCCGGCCACAAAGACTTAACCATGTCAAAATATTAGTAGTATTTAGGAAGTGAATAATGATATTTAAATGCTAAATTTCAATGTCGTCAAATCTAGTGAACTAATATTGCGAATAGTTATTTGGTGGGATACATTATGTGTGAAATCTTTGATAATTTGGATGATTCATATAGTTATACAATAATTTCACAATAGGCAATATGAGACCGCATATGTAATTTTTTTACGGCACCCCCTTAAATAAAATTCTGGCTACCAACTCTGACGCCTAGCCCACCTGACACGATTGTACGATGTCACAATTCACCCAACACGATCATCCGGGGTGAACAAGAATTGGGGATCGAATGCGGACGAAAGTCCCACCAATGGCTGAGTCCCTAAGGATGCATCAACTTTAATCTTCACACATCCTCTTCTTGACGGTGGTGACCAAGAAGCACTCCTATTATTAATTTGTGTATAATTCGTATGCATAGATTTGTCCATATTTGAAATTTAGTTTTTGTAAATGGATGCATTTAACCAATTTGTGTATTTTAATTAGATACGTATTTTAATATATGAATTTTAAAAATTATATTGTTTGGAATTTGAATAATTTTGGTGATCTCTTAAAAAATAAGAAAGGAAAAAAATGAATTTATAATCCCTCAAAAGTCAAAACAACCCAGCTTTTAGCTGAAATTGACAATCATCCATAATTAATAATTTTAATAGTCTCATCTACTACTCAAATATAAATATTGTGTTTTATTGTCAACCAAAAAATGATAAATTCTCATTATCACATGTACTATAATGCCTAATGGATAATTATCATTTTGGGGAGTATACTGATAAAATTAGTAATGCAATATGTTAGTACAATATCTTACTTGTTTTTAAGTTTCATATAGTGTGATATATGTAATATTCGTTGTATTATATTATTGAAGAAAACATTTTGTTCTCGTGTAATAGATTGTATTTTCATTCATTCGATCCAAATCGTGACTAAAAAAAATGCAAGATCTTGAAATTTATGAATGGGTTTGGGTTTACCATCAGTCAACCAAGTGGTGGATTCACCATAGGGTAGAGCACTGAGCCACATTTGAAATACGGAATACCGACGGTTCAACCATGAAATACCAGTATCGGAGGTTAAACCAGTAGGCGGTATTTAACGGTACAACGGTTGAACCACGATTAAACCACAGTTTTACCATAAAATACCCTACCGCTGACTTTCCCGGTACAGTCTCCGGTACGGTTTCATGGACCATGATTTTTTGGCTCCTTCCCAGTCGGGAAGTTCGGGCCATAACCCGAAAAACACTGAAACTAACACCTAAAATCGAATTTTCACAAGTGTCTATACTAGCTCTGGATCCAGAAGAGGGCTTGACCGTGGCCCGGATGCGGCCTCCTGGATCCGCCGCTGATTCAACTCAGAGACTCATGAGTTGGGTGGTTAAACGATTAAAACCGACCTAATCGACCCATGTACACCCCAGTTTTGGCCAGTAATTTGGGTCGGGTCGCTATTTCATTTGTACCGTACGTTACGTATACCGAGAGAGGAACTGAAATAAACTCCACCGACCAGGCGACCACCGCCATTTTCTCAATGCGAAACCCTCTCCGACGATTGGAAATCCTCGCCGTTCTGATTGGGGGAAAGAGTAGCTGGAGTAGAATCCGCCGTCGCCGAACGAATCTTCACCTGTGGATATTGGCGGAATAGTCAACTCCGGCGGCAGTGAAAAGTAAGCCTGGACGGTGTGGCGAAACCGAGAATGTGCAGCTTGATTGCTTGCTTGCTCTGTGTTTGGTGATTGTTGTTTAAGGTGTAATAGTTTCGAGTGGAGGTGAGAAGCAGGAGAGGCCTCAACGATCCATACTGTGGCGTCAGCTGCGTCCCCGCCACCAGTCTCATTGTCGTCGTCACCTCCGTGTCTAGTTGGAGGACCCATCACCTCCATGACGAAGTAGGAGTGAAGGAATTGTCAGAATTGTTTGCTGGGTTGCGTTGTTTCTGCGAGAATCCGCTTTGCTTAAGGTGGGGGTTCTCATTTCAGTCATTTGGTCTTCAGGGATTGCCGAATGCTTTCAGGGTAGAGAGCTTTGATAAGGAATTGATTTGAAACAAGTTAAGAAAAGAATCGATCATTTAACAGATCAGTTCGAAGCATCTCTTCTGTGGCAGCAAAATCTGGATTGCTTGTTTCTCTGTTTGATTGCCGCTGCCCAACTAGTGAGCTAGGGGATAAGGAATGTTTATTAATTTTGTTTGCTGTACCAAGTGAGTTTGGACTTTGGAGTACACGGATACGCTGGAGACAGGAGAAGATAGGACTCATGGAGCCTGGAGGGTAGAAAATTTTAGTGCTTAGGTGCAAAGAAGAAGATGATAGGTTGAAACGGCAGATTCCTGCTTTGCCGTTCTCTGTCTTTCTGTTTTGTCGTAGTTAGTTGATACAATGTTTAGATGCTAGATGTTTTCCTTTACTAGTCGGTCAGTTTACTAGTTTAGTTAACTTGCCTTCTCATGTGTTGTTGCTTTTTCCCGGCTCTTGATTTGTTTTGGTGGAAATATAGGAATCTGATTAGCGTAGTTGTTTAGTCATATTTGAGCATGCTCAACTGTTTAGTGCTGCTTGCTTTTCCTATGCACATCATCATCTTACCTAACAGTAGGAGATGCATCATCTAATCTAAATGCTTGCTAGGAAGGAGCATTAGTATACTATAAAGTACTAATTTAGTATAATATATTATAAGGATGCCAGCTCTATTCTTTAAGTCTTTTGTAGGGATGACTGCTGAAGGTGGGGAGGAATCGCGGCACAACCGGACACGCAGAGAGTTGGTATGTCATGCCGGTGCTGGTGCTGCCGCAGGTTAGATTTAATCACGCTCTGCCTTGATTGGAATTCGGTTTCTTGTTTCGCTTAAGTTTCCAAGTTCTTGGAAGCTGAGCAGTCTGGAAAATTTACTTGTTTATGATGACTAGTTCTTTGAGAGTATTTGTTTAGTTGATTGGCTGCTTCTAATGGGGAGGGAAGTATTTGAAAAAACTATGTGCAACTTTGCAGGTGCTATTGCGGCCACGTTTATGTGCCCATTGGATGTGATCAAGACAAGGTTGCAGGTCCATGGGCTGCCTGTATCAGCACATTCTAGTGGCCGAGGTAATGTATAGTGATGGCTGTTTGAACAAAAATAAAGACATAGAACAACCTAGCACTTTGTACCCTTTCCTTTTTCTTTATGGTGACACTTTTTGTCCTTTCTGGCTGGACAAGTCTCTGAAATCAAATAAAATTGCATTCTTTATAATCCTTGGTGTCTTGATCCAACTGTTGACTGCTTACATCTGCCTTATATAATGGAGTATGATACACATCTTTGAACAGCTTTGATTTCCTAATTTTCTTATTTCAAATAGTTGGATGCTGGCTACAACTTTCGAATTTTGGGTGAATTGGATATTTTTATCCATGAGTACCATTAAGCGCCTCTTATTTGGCATATTGATGGTTATTCTTTACGCTCTTCTTCATCATTTATCCTTAGGTAGCGCTATCGTCACAATCTTACAGAGCATAGTCAAGACTGAAGGTTTAAGGGGGATATATCGTGGACTTTCCCCTACTATATTGGCGATACTTCCTAATTGGGCTGTGAGTATTGCTTCTTTTTTTCGTTATAGTTTTTTTATGAAATTGATGCTCAATTATATTAAACCAAAAACTTCAGAAGCTGCAAAAGAGAAAAACCAGCAACTATGTAGTTGCTAGGTATACTTGTTCTTGTTGCTTAGTCTGAGAAATATTAACTTAATAGATAAAGTTGAACGCTCCTGGGACATCTTGTCCCTTTTCTTAGCCTTGAGTTGCTCTATGTTGAGGAGAAAGGATATTTAAGTTGACGGATTATGATGTAATGGGATTCAAAATTGACTCTATGCTTCACTAAACTGTTTCGCTATGGGGCTGTTCGTGTGAATATCTTTATTAGCTGGTACTGGTACTTATCGAAATCTAAGAGGACTATGATGGGATGGGATTCACTTTTAACTCTGTTTGCTTGTACTTGAGAAAACCATAAAGAATATGTTGCTAAAGTTCAGATCCTGATTTCTTCAAGCATACATTAATGGTGTTTAAATGACACACTTGGTGGTAGCTGTTACAGGGTATGTACAGATATGCAATTGAAGCTTTCTTTTAGTCACGGTTGCTGTTTGTTTTGTAGGTATATTTCACAGTGTATGAAAAATTGAAAGGCTTGCTTCTTACAAATGGTTGGTTTCGGTGCCTCTTTGGTTGACTCTTTTAACTTTCTAATCATACCATTTTATGGTCTTGAGTCTTGACATTTCCTGATTACTCTGGCTCTCTTCTGATTTTGTCTTGCTATTATATTCTTATGGCAGGGGATGAAAGTGGCCAATTAACGGTTGGTCGAAACATGATTGCTGCTGCTGGGGCTGGTGCTGCCACATCCATCGCAACAAATCCATTGTGGGTTGTCAAAACTAGGCTCCAAGTAAGTTTTGGCATGGTTATGTATCTTTCTAGCTTTTAATAGCTGAAGCAGACTCTGTTATAAGAGTTTATTCCCGCTTTCATTTATGAGCAACATCTTCCACTGAGAAAAATTTGCAGTTAAGTTTATCTGCATATTTAGAATGTCATTGTCACTATATGCTGACAAGTTTACGTTGCTTTATTCTTCTTGCCTTGAAATAATCTCTTCCAAGTCACAAAATTTTGAGGGTAACTCTTGCAATGCCAATCTAGCATAGAGTTTGAACCTTGAGAACAAGTTTGCTTCCAATGGGTGAAGCAGAACCGTATCTTCAGTTGATCTTATCCCTTTTCCCATTCCCTGTGTCCTCAACATGAACCCCTTTGGCTAGAGATGCTCAAGTACACCTTTTAGTCCAGGCTTTCTTCTAAGTTGCTGGGAAATGAAAGCAAAGTGATAGTGGAAGCATGCTTATAGTCAACTTTTTGCATTGTTCTTAAGCTAAAGATCCAAGTCCTACAATGTTTTGAACATCTTCAACTTGTGCAGTCGTGACGTTGGGGATTTCATGTTAATTGATTTGCCTCAGGGCTAACACAGAAAGCAAAAGGCTTAATATATGACACTTGATAACATGATGCTGCCCCATAAGGTTACTTCAATTGGAGGGCTTAAGCTAAAGATGTAAGCCTCGCCAATTTTGTTGATTATTGAGAACCTCTTCAATTAATAGTGTGGATTTCAAGTGTGCCATTTTTAGTTCTTACCCATGTTGCTTGTAAGCTAGCTGGGAAATGAATCATGTGCTACCCTCTGCCTTGTTTCGACTCTACTTCATCTATAAATAACAGTTGTTTCTGTTATCTTTGCAGACACAGGGAATGAGGCCTGGTGTGGTTCCATACACAAGCATATTTTCGGCTTTAAGGAGAATAACTTACGAGGAAGGTCTGCGGGGGCTGTATAGGTTAGTTTTGATGAAACCAATCGGAAACATATCTTGCGGTGATGCTAATTTTTCTTCGCTTGAAACAGTGGTATTCTACCCTCTTTGGCTGGGATAAGTCACGTTGCAATCCAGTTTCCTGCATATGAAAAGATCAAGTCGTATATGGCAACAAGGGGTAATTAATGTTTTCATGATTTCTGCTGAATACTTACACTTGAATTTGTCTCCTCCAAGAACATTATGGCTTTGGCTGTACCACTAATACTACTTATATGTTTGCAGATAATACAACTGTCGACAAGCTAGGCCCTGGGAAAGTAGCAATTGCCTCCTCGATAGCCAAAGTTGTAGCTTCTGTAACAACTTACCCCCACGAGGTACATACTAGTATGGATTCGGTTTAGTCTCAACCAATATACAAAATGGTAAAATAGTAACAACGAACAAATAAAATACCACAGGTAATCCGTTCACGACTTCAAGAGCAAGGGCAGGTCCGAGGTTCCGAGGCTAGGTATGCCGGCGTCGTTGATTGTGTCAGGAAGGTGTTCCTTAAGGAAGGTCTTCCAGGGTTCTACCGTGGTTGTGCTACTAATTTAATGAGGACAACGCCGTCAGCTGTCATTACATTTACCAGCTACGAGATGATACATAGGTTACTGGAGGGACTTATACTTCCTGACAAGAGGCATTCGAAGAGATAATGTTGAAAAGGTGGTATTGAACCAGGCGCAGCAAACGCGCAAGAGAGCCTCCTCTATACATCTGTGATGCAAATGAAGAGTGAAAATGGCATTGCAAGTTCTTATTTGTCTTCCCCCGCTCTCTGTTGCATAATTTTGATTCCACCATTTGTTGTTATTCATCTGGAAGATCTTCCACTGCTGGAAGTAAGAGGCTGGTGATGGATTCGGAGTGAGGAATCTGAGATGCCTTGGTGGTTGCATTTATCTCTGCAGATTGTCATAAGAAGATTAATGGATGGAATGGTACTTGTTCTCCAAACTTGTTAGTTGAAGTGGATGCACTTAGCTACAACCATTTCATCCTGGAAGAGAACATTTTACGAACAACTGATCATGTTCAGCATTGCGGATCAAGGGATCGATCTCGCAGCAGCAGCAGCAGCTCGAAATCTAGCAAGGAGCGCATGCAACGCTTTTATTGTTTATTGCTGCTTATGTTGCAGAGATTTTGTCCTGCTGTGTAGGTTTTAATAGTAGAATTTAGAAGGAGATTGTAACACCTTGAGTTTAGGTTTGGGTTCATCCCACGAATAAATATATGGTTCGTTTCAACGATTAGTTACATGAACTGAAATAAAATCGAGATTCAGCCAGATTGTGAAAACCCAGATTCCTCTAACATGATTTGACATTGATAATCGAATCAAATTGTGAGGAAACCACCGTGGTTTTGATAAATAGAACATGGACCAGATTAGAATATAAATACTTTCCTGATTCAATTGGTCCGGCCATTCATCCGGTAACCATACAAATGCTTCCCCTACAATTAACACATTTAAAAGCCAGAAAACCTTAATAACATATCTGCCCTGCCACTAATCGGCAGCCCAATACCCCCTACAATTACTAATACTAATATTAAGAAAAATATAGCTAAAATAATAACAAGTAAACACAGGTTTCCATCAATCCCGCCGTGGATGTTGTTGGCGATGTTGTTGGTGAATGGAACTCCAACGGTGGAAGGGTTGGGGAGAGGAGGGACTTGCCTCACCAGCGGCAATGCTTCGACCACTCGTTCGATCCCCCTGATGACTTGGTACCGTGTGCAGGAAGATACACCGCGAAACACATCTGAGAGCATTTAAACGAATGTTTAAACATCGACTTGAAAGCAAGCAATGTAGATGAAAATGAAGAAGACTCTCTGCCTTTGATATGCAATTGAAGACAGACAAACCGTACCCCGAAGGATGCCACTTTCGACTTGAAGTGGTATAGGGATGCCCTCTTCCAACTTCTTTACAGCAATGTCCATGTCCTCCTCTAACTTCATCACCCTTCTATTTATCCAAACACAAATATTATCAAGATCGGAGAAGGCTAATGAAGCATGAGCTAACCTACAGCTTTCTGCTGTAATGAAGCTACACAACAGTAGAAAGGTGTGTGTGAGAGAGTAAATATACCGCTTGATATTCATGATCGTATTTGCAATGCCCTGACCAAGTAATCCGCACCCAAATGCAACTGAACCATACAATGAACCCTGAACCGAGTAACAACAATGTACGCTTGTATCAGAAGAATCGAGTCCAAACTTCTTTCCTAAGATCGAGTTAATGTCGTGGATAAGGCAAAGGAATGTTCAGTCCACACAAATGTAGCAGGATTCAATCATCAAATACCTTATAGAAGTAATTAGCCACTTGCTGCATCAAAGAGGATCTACGTCCCGGCCTTCCAGCCTCAACAACACTGCAAGTGATGTAAACATATCGTTTAGCAAATCAAGACTTCAGCATGAAATGTGATATCAAAAGAAACAAACAGCAGTGAGTACTGAGTAGTAGTAACCTGCTGGGAAGAGCAGCACAAGCTTCCTGTGTATTGGGAGGGACTAACCCAGCTGTGTAAAAAGAAGGCTTCCCAATTCGAACTAGCATACCAACTACAGAAACATTAACTGCAATGCCCACAAAAGCTTCCCACATCTCAAGCTTTGACCACGAATCTTTCCCCCATTGCAGAACTTGAGCAAATGCTGTCCTACATGAACCAATTAATACCTGCATTCCATCCACACGAATTGCCCCAAAAAAGGTTAGTGAAAATCTCACACCCAGTTATGTAAACATGATGTATTCATTCTCAAAAACCACCAATGACACAAACCTTTGTTCCAACATGGAAGAGGAAACCGGGATCGGCCATCTTCTGATTAAGGAGAAATTGTGCTCGGATTCCGGCGGCCTCGGCAGCTTCCGGCATATAAGCTGGAAGTTCGAGGCCCCGCACCTCATCCGCCATTTTAATCACATCCTCATCCGCGAATAACATTATGGGCCAAACCTCCTTCTCCCCGGCGGCGCCATCGCCGCCGTCATCTCCACCGCGACCTCCACCGTCTCCGCCGCCGTGAAACCCTCCATTTTCTCCAGAACCATCGTCGGCGCCGCCGCCCCCGTCATCCAACTGTCGGAGACCCTCGACGATTATCGAGGAGTCCTTTATCGGATCAGCCGGGGACCCCGATTCCACACACTTGATTGCACCGGAGGAGGATGCCGATAGCTTGATTCCTGGTCTGGGATTAATGATGGGAAAGGCGGGCATTTTGATGCGCCCGCCGGCGCTGGCTTGGCGGAGGGAAATTGCGGGGCTTTTGAAGCGGCCGGCGGAACAGGATTTAATCGCCGCCATTAGCGTGGAAGAGTTTCGAATTTTCCGATCTAATTAGGACTTGGGCTTGGGCTAGTGGAAATATTGCTGGGCTTGAACCCGCGAGCGATCCAGCAAGCTTTTGAGAGGAGGTAATATTGCCTTACTACCTGTGGCGGCGGCGTCCGAATTCGCGGCATAAAAAGGTCAAAACTGTCAATAGCGCAGAACCCACAGTTCTTTTTTGATTGGTCCACCTGGCTGTCTACGTGGCAACAGAAACTGAAGAAGAAGAAGGAAAGTTGGTTGAAAAGCCAATGGGAAAGTGACAATAACTTAGTTTGGCCATGCGGTAGCTTTTGCATAAGCAGTTTCTAGTTTGAGCTTTTATAGAAGTATTTTTTGAAAAAAATAGTTGAGTGTTTGGTTGAAAATTTATTAAAAGTGCTTTTTAATATGAGAGGTTTTGTAAAAATGACTATAAAGGACTATAATATAAATTATAAATAATAATTCTAAACAATAAAATGTAGTCAAAATGGATCTTGTTAGACTTCGTTTATATTAAATAATATGATTTTATACTTTATTTTATTTTTAAAATAATATAAATGAAATAATATAATATTTTTCTAAAATAAAACTAAAATATGATAAGGATAATCTTGTATTTTCAAAACAGCTTTTCGCAGAAGCTCTAAATCGGAGCTTCTGCTTTTATGTTATACAAAAGCACTTTTCTGCTTTTCAAAAGCCGAACTTTTGGAGGTGTTTGGCCATGTTTCAGCTTTTGAAACCGAAAAGCACTTCTAAAAGCCGGGCCAAATATAGACAATTTATCTTTAGAGACCGAAATGGGGTTAAGAAAGAAACTAGGTAGTAAAAGTGTAAATAGTTAGGAGGTGGGGGAAATGCAGATCGAAATTGGCGCTCCTTTTTTTTCCTTTTCTTTTCTTGTCGTCTCCTCCGTCCGTCTTCTTCCCTCTCTCCTTCGTTTTTTTCCCCTTCTTGCTGGTTTCGGTCGGTTTTCCTTAATTGATAGAAAATTAGCAATCCTCGTAAAAAATTTGAAAAATCTTTTGCCCCACTTCCTCCCTCTCGCCGTCGAACGGTTGCAGCTCGCAAGTACGCCGTTTAATTCGTTCCGGTTCCGGCCTCATGTCAGGACGTCGCCGTACTTTGCTCAAGGTCATCGTCCTCGGCGACAGTGGGTACGGCATCTTGGATTTCTCTCTCTCTCTCTCTCTCTAGGGTTTTCAATCTTCGAGCGATTTCGCTTCTCTCTCTCTCTGTTACGACCATGACTGATTCATTTCCATCCTTTTCTTCTCCCGGGAATGTCAGGGTTGGCAAGACGTCGTTGATGAATCAGTATCCTTTTCCTTTTTATTTAATTCTCCTCTTCTTTTTGCTTATTCGGTCAATACGTGAGATCAGGTCCTTTTGAAATCCATAGTTGCAAGGTTTGTTTGGTTTCAGCTTAATTCTTGATGGAGTCGTAATTGTTTGAATCCTCAATTTTTTGCTGTGTAAATTGTCCACGGTGCTGGAAATGGCGATTTGTGGAGAGCTGAAATTTTGGTTGAATCGAATATTGGCAGCTAGCTCGTATGGAATTAATAACATTTCAGGAGTTTGTGAAAATGGAGTTTCCTGAGCTTCTAATCTAGATACGTGCACAATAAATTCAGCCAGCAGTATAAAGCTACAATCGGTGCAGATTTCGTGACCAAAGAACTCCAAATTGATGATAAGCTTGTCACGCTTCAAGTGGGTTTATCCTTCCTGACTCTAGTTCTGTGGTCTATCTCAATTTTGGAGTAGGTTTGGATTAGTTGCTTTTGGTTTGATTGCGATGCTGAATTCTTGTGTGTGGATAGATATGGGACACAGCAGGGCAAGAGCGGTTTCAGAGTCTTGGAGTTGCATTCTACAGAGGCGCAGATTGCTGTGTTCTTGTTTACGATGTTAATGTCATGCGTTCTTTCGATAGTCTCGAGAATTGGCACGATGAGTTTCTGAAACAGGTTTGTTCATCTCCTCCCTTCCCCCTATTATTCTTCTTCCTCGGTTGCTGCTGTGGTTTATGTTAGCTTAGTCCTAATATACTACCTGTTATCGTTGATTCAAACCGTTATAAGATTCCTGTGAACCAGTCACTTAGTCAATGATAGGGTTTGAGTAGCACAATCCTCCCATCACTAGCATAGGAGAAATATCATTTCGTGGAAGCGGCAACCGGACTGTACTAATCCCAAATGTTGGATTCAATGCTGAGTCAAACTAGAATAATCATGATTCTTTCAAGTTCAAGGGCAGATGGTTGACGCTCTTTTAATGGATCAGAATCAATATCAGATACAGTGATATGCACATGGAAAACACTCAAGTTCTGAAGCTTTTATGAGTCTTGACATAATTTGGCCGGTTTGAAAATCCCACTTTCCAAGTCATATGACAGCTTTATGATAAGGCTCTTGTCAAACACATTGCATTCATGAGATGCCATTTACTTGCCAAGCATTAAGATAGTAGGATTGAGGTAATAAAAGTGTAAATGTTGATGTTTATCTTTGCTGTATCAGATCCTGCTACTGTTGCGCCTTTAGCTAGGATGCTCTCTTTTATTTCTAAAGGTTTTGCTCCAGTGCTGCAAAGTGATGTTTTTCCCCCTCCTGATAAGTGGCATGATCATCATCATTTGTACCAGGCAAATCCGGCTGATCCAAAGTCATTTCCATTTATTTTGCTCGGAAACAAGATTGATGTAGATGGTGGAAACAGCCGAGTGGTAAGGACAACATGTAGTTCTTTCTGCTGGTTAAATTTGTCTCTCGGATATTTGTCTAATTGCTGGCAAATGTAGGTTTCTGAAAAGAAAGCAAAGGAATGGTGTGCTGCAAAAGGAAACATACCTTACTTTGAAACATCAGCAAAAGAGGACTACAATGTCGACCCAGCATTTTTTTGCATCGCTAAAGCTGCTTTGGCCAATGAGCATGAACAGGACATGTAAGTTTCAGTGCTATTCTCATTACCTGTCTGCATCACATAGTCATAATGTGTTTTTCCATTTTTAGTATAATCCTAGCTAATAAAGAAGGATTTAAGGTAACTAGTTATGTTGTTGTTTGTCGAGTTTCATGAACAAACATAAAAGAACGAAGAACTTTCAGATTGGGTATTTGGCCAACTAAAGTTCTTAGATTCACTCAGATATCTATGATGACAAGAACAAAATTTCTACTGATTGCTAGCTCTCTGCACCATCTCTGCTTTGGTTGTGTAAAATTACATTTGCCCCAGGGACCAGGTCCCTTTTGTGTGGGCGTAGGATCCATTTTTATCTCCGTGGGGACTAATCCGGTAGACCAAGAGTAAGACATATTTAGAAGTTCATTGTCGATAGATAAAAGTTAGGTGGGAACTGATACTTTTCCTTGATCTCTATAACTCGTGAAGATGGATATATCTTATGCTAGGTAGCCAGCTAGCTTTTGGTCTAAGAGTTGCTAGAAACTTCCTGGCTGCTTCAGATACTATGGGGCCAGCTGCTTTTGCCATTCACCATGTTCTTCAGACTTCTACATGGTCATGCAAACAAATCAAGTGTTCCAAGAACACCGACTTTAGTTCTTTAGACGTTGCTTCAAGAACGGCTTGAGCTCACTTGTGAAAATGCAGTGGTGCTGCACAAATTAATATGCTGAGTTAGTGATGCTGAACCTGGAACTGTGTCGGCTCGTTGGTCAGCAGTTTCTAGGTTCTACCACCCCATATGCAAAATTCATTAGTAACTATTTTTCTGAAAATTTGAATCTTCTGAATTGTACATCTTAGATTGACGAGAACTATCATTAAGTTCAACCCTTCCCTGCATTATTGATCATGACAATCATCAACTATGAAACTTCGCGTAGTTCCTTTCAGATTGAGAACTTGAAATTGATTTAGCAACTGATGATGGTATGATACTTATGAATGTTTTCTTAATCTTCGTTTCGTGTCTCATCTTTCTTCTCCAGATACTTCCAGAGCATCCCAGACGCTGTCCCTGAAAACGAGCAACGTGGTGGTTGTGCGTGTTGATTCCGTCTCTCTCTGACCCAAGTTTCATATGTAGTGCTTATACTTGTGTTTATGCTTTGATCGAACCAGTTTGCTGTACCCCCAATAGCTAAAGATAGGAAGAACAGCTAGTAATTTTGTAGCGGCTTACTTCGTTAGAGGAAACATCCTACGCCGAACTCTCAACAGATGGATTGGCATCTGATGGGAAGCGCTAGTCTTTTTCTTGCTCTTTCTCCTATTCCCCCTTCGTTTTTCGGGGGTTAAGATGAGACCGGTACTGTAAAATTTCAACTTTGGGTAGGATTTTGTTCCAGTGTTCCTAGGTCTCGACATTTTGTTGGATTTCATGGCCCCAAGATCTTGCCATTGTAAGTCTTTTGTAACGTTGTGGTGTTGGCTATTTACCACATTTGGTTCATGTGTTGGAGACTTGGAGTGCATTAATACATACTGCAGTCTCGTTTGTCACAAATTTGTGTCGGGACTAACAATTATAGGTGTGAACCGAGTGTTTGATCTGATTCAGTTCGATCCTATTGCAATTCAGCCAACCTCTGTTTTATTTTGTAAAATCCATAGCATTGAAACAATATTGAATTCCATCAGCTTAATTTTGGTTCGATCCAAAAGTCGATTCAATCCAATCGAGCAGAATCTTGAACTTCCAGAGTATGATGACAATCGAAAACAGACTACCCCAACCTTAGGGATCACTTGAAAATCTTTATGAAATGCTCAATCAAGATCAACTGCTAACCAAACTTACATAGTCATCAAGTTTCATCTATTCCAGGTCCAAGAAGTTATAGCCTCGGAGATGCAGACGATTTTTAACATTCAGAGAGAAATTCCTCCTTCCCGGAAAAAAATACAGGAGAAAAGGAGGATATTGCGATAGTGTATGAACAACTAGGGAGGGCAAGCAGAAGCAAGGATGTTTACTCATCATCCTTGTATGGGTACTCTTCTGGAACTTGCTTTATAAGTTTAACCTGCAATTCAAACACATCATCGCCCCGAAGCACATCGCGGAGCCATGTAACTTCCGTTTTCATAGACACCTGAAGATAGTGGATCACTACATATCAATACAATGAACCGAAACAAATTGTACGAGACAGGTTGGTAAATAAACCATAAATTGACCATTGCTCACTTATATGAGATGCGCTGTAGAATCTACTGGAGTACAAAATAGAGACACTAGCAGCATATATAGATATCCACAAGAAGAAAATATCAGTTCAGTCTCGTGGTAATCAGTAATGCACACAAACTAGTTCACTCTTGTTGCTAATGGAGCCTCTAATCAATACTCTCTGGCCAAGGTACTAAACGCTTCCAGGCATAAGGTCCTAAGTATCAGAACGGTAACTCTAAAGAACATATATATACATCAAACAGGCAAGGGAGAGAGGTCAACAGACCTAAGAAGACGATGAAAAGCGAAGGAGAGAGAGGCATGGGAGGGCACACACTAACCATTTCTAGGGCTCCTCTGATGACTCCACTCAAAACGTTGCAGTAGTAAAGGCCTTGACAAGTATCAGGAAGTTCAACAAAGTCCACCAGAGGATTATCTTCCAAGACGATACTGCAGCATGTCCCTTCAGCATCCCAGTTGGTTACAGAAGCACCAACCCCGAGGAACATCTTAAAACCCACCTGTAAAAAAGGTCAATTTATCATCAAATGTTTCTTATGTGCGACTTCTGTGCAGTCATAGATATTGGGATGCCTTTGACAGTTCCTACCACAAAGGAAATATTTATCCCAGAGTAGACACCCAAAGACATGTCACTATGCACTTGAAATTGAAAGAAAAAGGAAAATGAGAAACGGGTACATCTTATGTTTTCTTATTGAATAGAAGTAGTAAGGTTTTGCAAAGTTCAGTCAGAAGAAACAACCACAATGAAGAGGTCATCATGGTTCTACACATAACATTTTTTTAAGTTTCAAAACACGAGTAAAATAATCTACATAGAACAAACATTACTGAGAGTGTCACTAACCTTTGCACTTACTTCAGCTGTCTCCTTGAAGTCCACACATCTAGAGACATTAGATTTTGCTAGGAACTCATCAACTAGCCGAATCCCAATGTTATAACCCCTAACAGCATATCAAGCACACAAATATAAATTAATGCCAGGATTCTCAAACAAATCATCACCACCATCTTCCCACTCTCCGTATAAAAGGCAATTTGTCGAAGACACAAGTAAGTTCAATTAAGAGGAGCTTCTACAATCGTTCGAGACAACAACAACAACAACAACAACAACAACCGCTTAAATTAACAGGTAACTAGAGATTTACACCTACAGAAAACGCCACCATAGATACCCATTTCCAAATTCATCTTTAGCTCACTAGTCCAAGTTAACAGATCGCACAAAATCAAAGCTCCTAAAGCCACTCTCGTGATAAGGAGTTGATTTAACAAAGCGTTCTTACTTAACACTTACATTTGGTCCAGCTGCTTGTTGACCTCATCAACCTCCTCCAAATCTGTCAGCAACTGCCTCACAATCGCGCCATACGTCAGCGTGAACAGCTCTGCATTCTGCATCAAAATTCACATTTCAACACATCAGTCTCAGATCTAAATGAAAATTCGGCCGTGAAACAGTGAAGAAGCTAACATTTCGTCAGTCCCGATCCCAATTCCCACAGAAAATGACGATAAAAATACACAGGTGGTGGTAACGATTAGAAAACCCCCTCGGCCACCGGGTAAACTCGAGCAGAACCACGAAGTAAAAAGAGTGAAATTTGATCAATGAAACCCTCCGGAATCGAAAAACCCACTGGATCGATCACATAAAATTCCCCGTTTGGCATCTGAGAAAACGCGGGAGAAAAGAAGTAAGAAAATCAACATTACCACGCGCTCGACGCTAGCGAAGATTGCGTCGCCGGATCGGGGGCCAGCCGGAGCCATTTGCGGATGGAGAGATCGCCGCCGGTGAGAGAACTCTTTGAAAGCGAAGCGTGAAGAGCAGAGCAGAGTTTCGAGCTTCGGCTGTACCGTTCCGACTTCTGAGGACTGTGATAGACGAGAAAGAACCGGTAGAGCTTTTCCTGTTAGATCCTTTCCTTCCGATTTGGGCTTTCAAAGCCCAATATGTGCTTTATCTTCATTCGGTAGTAAGCCCAATTGCCCAATTCGCCTCCACCAAAACCTCCCTCCGCCGCCGCGTTCTCGTCAGGAACCGCCGCCGGCCGTTCCATCTCCGTCCTACAATCGCCGCCGTCCCAATCCATATTGTTCATTTCCAATCCTTACTCAGTGGAATGTAACTGACCAGAGTGGCGGTCAACCACCTACTTCGCGCCGGCCTCTTTGTCCGCTTCATGGGCGGCGGGCCGCGCACATTCCCCGGCGGGCTGAACAAGTGGCAGTGGAAGCGCCTCCACGAGAAGAAGGCCTCGGAGAAGGAGAAACGCCTCCTCGACCAAGAGAAGCAGCTCTACCAGGCCAGCAATCCGATCCTCAATCCGCGCCAAACTAGCCGCCGGCGAGTACCCGCCACCGCCCAGCAACGATATCTCCTTCCAATTACAATCCCATGGCTCCGAGAGACCAAATCAAAGCGCTCCCCGATCCTTTCAACCGAGGTCTGATGGATGGCCCTTTGAACCGAGGTCGTCTGCCAATCATGAACAGGGGTTCCTTGAATTCGCCCGTTGATTTGAGAAAATTGATGACGGAGTTGCGAGAGGAGTTTTAACCCTCCGGTCGGCAGTTCTCCGGCTATTTACTGGTGGTGGTGATAAATGCGCCGGGAGGAAGGATTTCTCCAGAGATTAAGGTGGCAATCTGAGGTGTCTTTGGATTTAAGCACCAATCTCCGACGCGAAACTCCAAATTCCCATGGACAGCGAGCTCTATTCGGACTGTGGTGTTAGAGAAATTCCCATTGACGATTGTGTTCTTGATCACGTTCATGTGCTCTACTCTACGTTACAGGGTCTGATCTTCCAACCTTGAGATTATGTAATTGTTTTATCTTTTGTTCAAACTTCAACTGACTTATCTATTGATTCTTCATTTGATTGTGAGGACCGATTTCTTCTTGTAAAGAGAGTTTTAAGACGGTGTGCTTGTCATATTGCTTTGTGCCTACAACTTAAAGTATAGTAGATCGAACTTTAAACAATATTGTGTTGGAAATTTGGTTGAACCGGACTAACCAAGTCAAACTGGTTTTGGGTTGGACCGATCAACCAGTTTGGTATTAGACCGACCGAACCGATATTCTAATTCCGTGAAGCGACACATCCTTTTGGCCTAGTGGCGGTTGCATTATTTTATGGATAAGGATAACCTTATGGATAGAGGCAACCCTTCATATGAATAAGGATAACCTTTCATATGGATAAAGGCAACCTTTCGTATGGATAAAGGCAACCTTTCATGAAACAATGCATGGATTCGGCCCCTATAAATATGTGTGGGGTGGATGATGCCACATACCATCAAACATATTCTTCTTCTTTCTTCCAAAAATTTCTAAGTATGCTTTAGTGTTCTTGAGCCTGGAACCTAAAGTGGTGATAGATTTATCCTCGGGAGTAATTTCCTGTAACCCTAGGCTTGTTGAGGGTGGAAATATTCTTTTCGGAAAGTGAACGTTGTTCACGACTCTATCACAATCCTGGTCACCCGGTCTCGGGCTATCGTACGTATACCCTCGTCCCTAAAAGTCCCAACAATCGAAAAGAATAATTTTCCGGTACGATGGCTCGAACGCTCTTTACAAGAAACCGGTTCCGGTCTATGGAATTATGAGAATGTTCGATGATGGGTTTTTCATCGATGGCAGTAGAAGATGGGTTTTCTTCGTACTTATCTCATGGTGTATTCCATATCCGGAAGGTAACTTGGAAGAGGGATGATTCAAAGATGAGGAAGAAGGAGAATGATTCGTAAAATGGAGAAATAGAAGAATGAAAATTGCCTTTGGGTAGGTCACATACTCAATGGCTAATTAGTCTAATTCTCTATTCGACATTTACGAAGTTCTAGATAAATTTGGATTTGTCTAGTGGTTTGGTGGTGTGATTTTGTCTAGTGGTTTATGTTATTTTAAACCAAGGAGACAAAATTGTATAACAACAATGTTTGATGATTCTGGTAATAGAGTCGTTGTGTTTGTATGTAGATGACATATTTATCTTTGGGGCCAATCAGGGATAAGTGATTTTGTCAAGTGGTTTATGTTATTTTAAACCAAGGAGACAAAATGTGTACACAATTTATGATGATTCTGGTAATGAAGTCATCGTACATTTGTATGTATAAGACATGCTTATCTTTAGAACCAATAAAAGATAAGTGAACTTTAATAAAAAGTTGTTATTTCAATTCTCCATGTAGGATATAGGGGAGGCAAATGTGATTCTGTGTATTGTATCAAGCGGAACGACAAGAAAGAGTCCTTCTCTCAATTTTTCTGCACGAGAAGGTACTTGCATAAATTCCATAGTAGGAATTGTAGTGAGTTCAAGACCCCAATGGATCCAAGTATGGAACTTATGGTTAATACTGAAAATCAGTCTTACAACTGGAGTATTCCATGTTAAATTGAGGGATCGATGTATGCATGACTTCCATGATGCTAGATATCGCATATGCGATAGAACAATTAAGTTGGTACATGATGAATCCTAGTTCTAATCATTTGAATTGAAATGAGGTGTGTACTAGGATATGTCAAAGACACACTGTATTTACTTATAGTGGATTTCCATCAATTTTGGAAGGATTTGTTGATGTTAGTTGGATTTCTCATATTAAAGGTGATACTTCAACATTGAGATGGGTCCTCTTGCTTGGGAGAGGTGCCATATTTTGGGCCTCTAGAAAGCAAACTTGCATCACTAAGTTTCACTATAGAATCAAAGTTTGTGTGGTCTTGGTTTCTCTTAGAGAAGAGACATAATTGTTGAGAGGTTTGGTTTATGACATATATTTATGGCCTAAACCAATCTCACCTATTAATATCTTTTGTGATAGTAATGCTAATTTGGCTAAGACATATAGTCAAGTGAAAATGACAAGTACGGTCATGTAGGAGTGAGGCACGGTAAAATCTGTGAACTGATCATTCATAGAGTTGTGTCTAGACAGTAGGACCAGACTCGAAATAATTTGGTTGATCATTTGACGAAGTGGTTAACTAGTGACTTGGTGATCAAGTATGTGAAAGGGATGGGTTAAAGTCCATATAATTTCTGGTAATGGGACACCCAATTCCCCTCTAATACAACGCTAGAGGCTGAATTCAATGTGGAAAGCTTATTATCAGAAATTGGAAGCACAAAATTTGTCATCCCAAGGTATGTGCTTGTTATCCTGCATGAGAGAAGAGGATGAAGTTCAAAATTTCTTAATTGAATCTTTGAAAAAGTGTATTATGCGGGTATACGAATAAGAGATTCAACCTACGTAAGCATGAAGTGTAGCCGCTTCAAGAAACCCGGACTTTGGTTTCGTGTGCGCTTATGAGAAGGATTGGACACATGGCGGATAATAGTGTCAAGGCGCTTAGAAGTTTTGAAAATTTAAGTGTATATTATCTTCGAATATTCATATGAGTCAATGGGTTCAATCGTTAATGACACCCTTTGTATTCGAGTATTTGTCAAGTGTAATATACTAAGGTGAAAATTCAATCGTCACGACATTTTCATTTATGCTTAAGTTTTGTTGGAAGAATGTTGTGATTTTAGTGAATTCTATGAATACACTAAAATGGGGGAGGAATGTTGGAAATTTGGTTGAACCGGACTAACCAAGTCGAATCGGTTTTGGGTTGGACCGACCAACCGGTTTGGTATTAGACAGACCGAACCGATATTCTAATTCCGTGAAGGGACACATCCCTTTGGCCTAGTGGCGGTTGCATTATTTTATGGATAAGGATAACCTTATGGATAGAGGCAACCCTTCATATGGATAAGGATAACCTTTCATATGGATAAAGGCAACCTTTCGTATGGATAAAGGCAACCTTTCATGAAACAATGCATGGATTCGGCCCCTATAAATATGTGTGGGGTGGATGATGCCACACACCATCAAACATATTCTTCTTCTTTCTTCCAAAAAATTCTAAGTATGCTTTAGTGTTCTTGAGCCTGGAACCTAAAGTGGTGATAGTTTTATCCTCGGGAGAAATTTCCTGTAACCCAAGGCTTTGTAGAGGGTGGAAATATTCTTTTCGGAAAGTGAACATTGTTCACGACTCTATCACAATCCTGGTCACCCGGTCTCGGGCTATCGTACGTATACCCTCGTCCCTAAAAGTCCCAACATATTGTAGGGAGAAAACCTTCAATCGTGAATCGGATTCTTATGCTTGATTTAGTCTCGTCATTATACATTTGTCGAACTTCGGTTGCACTCCAAATCCACCCCCAGCAAACACTCCAAAAGAAAAATAGCCCGACCTAACAAGAACGTTGTAACATCATTCAATCTTGGTCTAGAGCAATACGATTTTTATCTTTAGGTGGATCAAAGATAACTTTACATAAAGCTATCCATCCATGCATTGTTTCAATATGAGCACATTTAACTTTAAAGTTCTTACCATAACTCATCTACTTCATCGAAAACGCGTCTTATCAGTTAAGATCGGTTTCTTACTTATCAATGAGTGATCACTCTCATAGTTTTGTCTGTCGATGTAAAATTTATCTAAAGTGTTATATACAACCTCCCTTCGGGGACTCAACGTACTCATTGAAGTTTGCCTCACTAATATCCAAGAAAGACACATAGAAATTTTGAGATTCTGATGTCACTTGTGTAACAATGTGACATTTTTTCCGACCAACATATTGTCTTTTTTTTTATTCAGACCGTAAGTTTTTTTTTTGCCTTGGAAAGCATATCAATATAATTTTCCGAAAGATCACCCATCATTTCATTGCTCCATAGTTAGCGTGTTTAATTTGAGAGTTTTTACTAAAGTCCCTTTGTTTCACGGCAAAAACGCATGTTGTCAGTATCAGTTTATTATTTATATATTATAAATCTCTTTCGTCTTTTATCGATATGAGATTTGTCTAACGTATTAACAAATATTAGCGTTAGTAAAAGATGAAGAAAAAAAGAAATATTAGTACGAAAAATAGGGATGGCAATGGGTCGGGTCGGGGGCGGATAGTGCATATCCGTTACCCTACCCAAAGTACTTCGGGTTTTACCCATACCCATACCCACATGTGAAACGGGTAGAAAATTAAAACCATGCCCATACCCGTTCGGGTTTCGGGTATCCACGGTTATCCATGGATATTAATTTCTCTTCATAACTCCAACCAATATGTTAAGATTCACACGTATTCTTTTATTAAGTAAGAGAAAAAGTACGACAAGAATTCACTAGAATGAAGAAAATTAACTAAAACAACACAATTTCATGAAAATGTTATATTTATATGCTAAATATAAAATATGTTAGAGAAAAATAATGATTATTTCTAGACAAAATACATATGCATGTGTATAATCGGGCGGGTTCGGGTCGGATAGTGAGAAATCCATGCCCACCCATTACCTGCAATATTCGGGTTCGGGTTTTACCCGTACCCACTAAATGTCCTTCGGGTTCGGGTTTTACCCTACCCGACTAGGCCGGATTCGGGCGGATATCCACGGTTACGGATATTTTTGCCATCCCTAACGAAAGCTCTCTTCTTCTTCTTCTTCTTCTAGTTCGGCATTTATGGCGTTCCCGTGACTCTTGCCGTCGTACAGCAGCAACCCTCACTAACTTAAACGCCATTGTCCGTCGCTGTCAAGCTGCTGTGGAGTTATCGCTCGGTTTCCTACAGTTTCTCTCTTTCTCTGGCTCTGGAGAGTTTTTTTTTCTCCTTCCTCTCACTCCGTCACTTGTTCTTCTCCAGCTGAAGAGGTAGGTTTTGGGATAGCTATGGAAATCGAATCCTTCTGCTTCTTCTTCTTCTTCTTCCGTCTGCATTTTTTGCCGTTTGCGATCTGCTTATGGATCTATAGATCCCCATTTCCCAGCTGGTTCCGCTTCAATGTCCGAAACGGCTGTGTTGTTACGGGGGGGAAAAAAAATCTCCATTCTGGGCTTCCCCCCTCTTCTTCTCCCGGTCTCATTTCTCTGTTAGTGTGGCTCAGCTACCACTGCCGACGTAGCTCTCAGATTTCCTCAACGTGGTTCCCTTTCATTTCTATGGATAGATTGAATTTTAGGGGTGGATAGATGTTTTGGGGCTAGCTTCTTGAGTTATGTTATGCCCTTTGAGTGGGTTGTTCCTTTACTTAGGGGAAAGAAGGGGGATTTTTTGGCACGTCAATATGTTGAATTCCGAGCTTCAATTGAAAGATATAATTTTTTGACGAGATGAAACTGGGTTTTGCAGAAATAGAAGAAGATATGGCACAAAGTCTGCGCCGGAGTGTGTCTCCGTATGCCTCCAGCTACAGTAATGGTGGTAGTGAAGGCAACAGTCATTTGCATTCTCCTATAAATTTGCCAAACGGGGATGGATACGACAGTGATGGCTCCAATTTATCGTCATCGTAAGTCTGAAACCAGCTTCTCTTTTCATGTTTTTTTAATTGGTTTATCAGAACTTGGTCTAATGCTTGGTTTACTCTTGCAGTGCTCCGGCAAGTCCTTTAATGGCACTTCCAGCTGAACTTGCTGGCGCTATACCTTTGCTTGAGAGATTCCAGGTAGTTCATTATCCTCTTGGTACTTGCAAAGTAGAAGGAGCTTTGCCTATGATATTAGTCTTTTACATATGGTGCTATTGATTGAACTTAAGCTTAGTTTGGCCAGCATTAACTTATAATTGTCTGCAAGCTCTGGATGTAGTCTATTCCATTATGGCGCATATGGGTGGTGATAGTCCTTCTCATCTTTGTACTTGTTACATATAGGTCGAGGGATTCTTAAAAATGATGCAGAAACAGATTCAGTCAACTGGAAGACGTGGATTTTTCTCTAAAAAATCCACAGGCCCTCCAGTTAAGGAAAAATTCACATTTGAGGATATGCTATGTTTCCAGAAGGTACAACATTATCTACTCTTGTATTGTTTTCTGCTCTTCCATCTGAGTGCCTGTCATTGAAGAGCTCCACTTGTGTTATCTCATGCAGGATCCTATCCCAACTTCTTTACTGAAAATCAACAGCGATTTGATAGGACGGGCCGCTAAGCTGTTTCTGATAATTTTGAAGTACATGGGGGTTGATTCTTCTGATCGAGCAACTCCAGCTAGTTTAGATGAGCGGATTGAGCTGGTTGGTAAATTGTACAAGCACACATTGAAGCGTGCCGAGCTCCGGGATGAACTTTTTGCCCAGATTTCTAAACAAACAAGAAATAACCCAGACAAGTATGCTGCTATCTTTGTTTGTTTGAATGTTGCTATTCTTGTCTATTGATGATGTGAAAGCTTTTTAACTTTGAACCTTTTCTTTTGTTTCTTTCTCATAGACTACTACACTTTGAACTGAAAACCTATCCAAGCTTCCTCATTTACTTTAAGATAATACCAAAGGCCTTATGATATGGAGTCCTTCGTCTATATGATTGTCATGTTCAAGTTTCATTGTTTTCATGAGTCTTATTCCTGCCTTTTAAATCAATTCTAATTTATGCTTAACTTATTTGTTGATTCCTTTTGCAGGCAGTATTTGATTAAATCATGGGAGCTAATGTATTTATGTGCTTCCTCCATGCCTCCTAGCAAGGACATTGGTGGATATCTATCTGAGTATGTACATGATATCGCTTATGGTGCGAGTACAGAGGCTGATGTCCAATTCCTTGCTTTAAATACTTTGAATGCTTTGAAGCGCTCTGTTAAGGCCGGTCCTCGGCATACAATACCTGGCCGCGAGGAAATTGAAGCTCTTCTGACTGGTCGAAGGCTTACAACAATAGTATTCTTTTTGGATGAGACTTTTGAAGAAATCACATATGACATGGCCACAACTGTTGCTGATTCTGTTGAGGTAGTTAGACTCTAAACTTAACATGAAATTCGTGTATTTTGAAAGTTTTGTTTAAATGGCAATCACATTTATAGAATCCACGCAAAGCAGAAATAAGATGTTCATGATGACAGAGAAGAACATATTAGCATACCTTGTCGTTTGGTTTTCTTTGGATGCTGATTGGGCTCAGCAAAAGCAGAGCACTAGTAGGCTACTAGAGGGTGAGGGACGATCTTGGTTGGGATGTGATGGGAAGATTCTTGCACTCTAATAGGAAGTTTCTTATGGTTGATAATGTCCAATGATAGATTTGCAGTGAACTCAGATTAGAGGGTTATTGAAGTGAAAATGGCTGTCGCACTTTCCCTCCGATCATCTAGATGAGCAGCATTTACAGTGGATGCTGACGGCGTGTCTTTTGTTTTGCGGGTTGTGCATTCTCCATTGCATTTCATAACACATCTCTTTTTACCAGAATTTAATTTATATTTTAAAATGATGAAGTTAGCGCATCCCATTTTCTCCATTTTCTCCTGCACTGTAATTCTCAGATTTTGCACTTTTTATCTATTGGCTATTGCTTTTCTTTTTCATCAAAATATTTGCCAGTTCATGCTTTCTATGTTAATATTCTTCCGTTGATCCCATTCAATTTTTTATAGGAGCTTGCTGGGATCATTAAGCTGTCCGCATATTCTAGTTTCAGTCTCTTTGAATGCCGCAAGGTTGTCACAGGTTCCAAATCAGCTGACCCTGGAAATGGTTTGTATCTGTTCCTTGGTCTCCTTGAGTTTTTTTGGATGTAGTTAATTTTCTTCTAATGGGCTCTTTTTTTCCCCAAATGTAGAGGAGTACGTTGGGTTAGATGATAACAAGTACATTGGAGATTTGCTAGCTGAATTCAAGGCAGCCAAAGAGAGAAGTAAAGGAGAAATTTTACACTGCAAACTGATTTTCAAGAAGAAGCTATTTCGTGAGTCTGATGAAGCTGTAACAGACCTAATGTTTGTGCAATTATCATATGTTCAGGTGTGTTCACCCTCTCCAATTCTTCACTTGTACTTGCATTTAGGAACAGATTTTCTTCATGACGTGAAGTTCTAAGCTAACTTGTCGGTTGTTGTGTTTTAGTTGCAACATGACTATGTGCAAGGAAACTATCCGGTTGGAAGGGATGATGCTGCACAATTGTCTGCCTTGCAAATCTTAGTTGAGATTGGATATGTTGGTAGCCCTGAATCATGCACGTTAGTATTTTTTTCCTGTCTTGCCTACTCAGTGCAACAAGTTCAGGTTTTATGTCTCACCTTTCCCTTCGGTTTGATGATGGTCAAGATTTACGTCAACGTTATTCGCAGTGATTGGACTACTCTCATTGAACGACTCCTACCAAGGCAAATTGCAATTACACGAGGAAAGCGGGAATGGGAGTTGGACATTCTGTCTCGTTACCGTTCACTAGTAAGAATAAGCCCGAAGCTTTTTTAGCTGTCTAGAGGGTATCTGCAATCTGTTATTAGTAACTAGAATATGGGCAATTGGTTACAATACTAGTTTGCTTTCATCTTCATGATTGCCAAATTCTTCTTTATTTGGTGATTCTTTGTCGTTGAGTTATTCTTGCTTTCATTCACTCCACAATTAAAACTAGTTGGTATTTGACAATTTGGTGGCCTCTTTACCTTTCCTCTTTACTCTGCTTCCAAAATTCAATCTACTTGCTGCAAGTGTTTGCAAACTATACATTTCTGCAGTTATCAACTGTATTTTGTCCTGAAACTCCACGTGTTTACGACTATGAATTAGTTTCTTGTTTCTGCTTTTTAAGATTGTATCTGTCAGGAAGTTATTTGTTCAAAAGTTTCTATTGACATCCCAAAGTGCTCTTGCCATGTAGGAAAATCTGACAAAAGATGATGCCAGACAACAGTTTTTGCGGATATTGAAGACTCTTCCTTATGGAAATTCAGTTTTCTTTAGCGTTCGCAAGATTGATGATCCCATTGGTCTTTTGCCAGGAAGGATAATTCTTGGGATCAATAAAAGAGGGGTAAGTGTTAAGTTTCATGTCATATTGAAACCAATGTCCATCAATACTGGTAGAGACAGTCAGTGATGTATTGGGCTCGGGCCGAAAGTTCGTCCACTAGACCATCCTCTACATACCGCCCAGTTCCTTGGTTTGTGGGTTCATTTGAAAAAAAAACTAATCATTGAAACATGTCTATCAATACTAGTAAACAATTGGTGCCCATATTCTAGAGCTTGTAAGTTTTGGACTAGGATGAAATGTTTGTCTACCAGGCCATCTTCTAGATATCACCTAGCTCATTGGTTTTTTAGTTCATTTGTAAAAAAATATCATTGAAAATGAGGTCTATCAACATTAGTTGGCAATTGGTGTGCATATCCTAAAGATTGGAAGTTTTGGACGCGGACCAAAAATTAACCTCAGAATATGCATCAGCTATGCACTTCGATTAGGATGCTAATGTGCTCTAGATGACAGAATGATACTTTTCTAAACAGGTACACTTTTTCCGGCCAGTTCCAAAGGAGTATCTACATTCTGCTGAGTTGAGAGACATAATGCAATTTGGCAGCAGCAACACGGCTGTTTTCTTCAAGATGAGAGTCGCTGGTGTTCTTCACATTTTCCAGTTTGAGACCAAGCAGGTTTAGTTTACTATAGGGCCCTTCTTTCTGTGGTTCTTTGGGTTATTGCTAATGACTCACGTAATGGATTTCATCCTTCTTTTGTATAGGGAGAAGAAATCTGTGTTGCCCTTCAAACACACATAAACGATGTCATGTTACGTCGATATTCCAAAGCTCGCTCAGCTACTGGCAGCTTGATGAATGGAGATCTTTCTAATAATTCAAAACCACCTGCGAATGTCGAGATTTATGAAAAGCGTATACAGAATTTATCCAAAAGTATTGAGGAATTCCAGAGAAATACTGATCAGGTAAAGTTTGTAATAATGTCTTGGTTAAGATCGTTTTGAAGAATGGTGATATTAAGACAGATTATCCAATGATCATTGCAGTTAGTTCAAGCATTGCATGTAAGGCAAGAGCAAGAGCTAAGATTGCAAGATGAATTGGAGGGGTTGAGAGATTCATTGAGGTCCGAGCAGCAGAACTCAACAGCTCTCACAGTTGACCGCGATAGACTCAGATCCATGTGTGCTGAAAAGGACAAAGCTCTTCAGGTAAACAAGATTACTACAAGGCTATTATCTTCCTTGAATGGTGTGTAATTTTCTTTCTTTTTTATGTAATGTCTTAGACTGCACTGTTGGACAAGAGGAACATGGAATCGAAGTTGTCCAGTCTTGGTAATCTAGCATCTAGCAAAGCGAACATGGTTGCAACTAATTATCAGGTAAAACTGAAAGCTGAGGTTTTGTTTGATCTTGGTTGTTCTGGTGGGTGCAATTATTTTTTCCCATTGGTTACGTGGTGTAGCCACTTACAACTGTCATTCATGATTCAGAAGGAGTCTTTGAAGTTGCAAGAAGAACTAAAATTACAAAAGGAGGAGCTGCATACAATGCAAGAAAGTCTAGAAAAGCTCAGAAATGAAAATATGCTTTTAGAAGAGAAGATCTCCAGACTCGAGAAGAAGAAAATTGACGAGGTTAAAAGTTATCTATATTCTTTGAATTGTGTTACTTTTGTCAGTTCTATTTGTTGCAGTTGTCACTTAACAGTACTTTTTGCTCCACAGATTGAAGTTCGCGAAAGAAACTTTGATCAGGAAAGGAAAGCATCAAAGCTCCGTATTAGTGAATTGGAAAAGAAGCTTGAAGTTGCCAGTCAGGATTTGACTATTGCTAAGTCCACTCTGGCAGATAGGGAGGCAGATTACTCTGTCCTGCAGAATAATTTGAAAGAATTGGAGGACCTAAGAGAAATGAAAGAGGTATAATCCTTGGCTGGTTTTGTTGTCTTATATTTTGGCTAGTTTGGAGCATTTCTTATGAAGTTTGAATTTTCCCTTTCCAGGACATCGATAGAAAGAATGAGCAGACTGCTGCTATACTGAAAATGCAAGGGGCGCAACTAGCTGAGATGGAGGCGCTTTACAAGGAAGAACAAGTGCTGCGCAAGCGGTACTTTAACATGATTGAAGGTTGGACTTTTTTCCAAAGTTGAAATATATTTGGAATGCAGTGTAATGTTAACTCTGTTCTCAAGTATGATTTTTCCACATAAACTTTTCCTAGATATGAAAGGCAAGATCAGAGTTTATTGCCGTTTAAGACCTCTAAACGAGAAAGAAATTGCTGAAAGGGAAAGGCAAATCGTCTCGAGCACAGATGAGTTCACAGTAGAACACCCATGGAAGGATGACAAGGCAAAACAACATTTGTATGATCGTGTCTTTGATGGCAGTGCATCACAAGAAGATATATTTGAAGATACAAGAGTAAGTTGGGTTGAATATATCGATAATCAACTGCTTTTTAATTTAAAAGCCGTCTGTTGTTGACCTCTTCTTTTCTTGAAATTTGTCTGATGCAGTACCTGGTTCAATCCGCTGTTGATGGATATAATGTTTGTATTTTCGCTTATGGTCAAACCGGCTCTGGGAAGACATTTACAATATACGGCTCAGATGGAAATCCTGGACTCACACTAAGGGCAACTGCAGAGATCTTTAACATCTTGAAACGCGATAGCAAGAAATTCTCGTTTTCTTTGAAGGTATTTCATATCCTTTATAATGGAATTAACTATTACCTTAGTAGTGTTTGATAACTAGGCCACTGGTGATGAATGTGCTGTGATCAACTCTTTCATCCTCATATATTTATACGATGATGCAGGCATATATGGTTGAGCTGTATCAGGATACACTTGTTGACCTTTTACTGCCGAAAACTGCAAAGCCTTTGAAATTGGACATAAAGAAAGACTCAAAGGTGAGTTTTGGTAGTTGGATTAATAAACGCACACATCGTATCATTGATTGTTATGATTCCTTCTGATTTCTAAACGCACACATCATCCAGGGTATGGTCTCAGTCGAAAATGCGACAGTTAAGTCAATCTCGTCGTTTGAGGATCTAAAAACCATTATCCAACGAGGATCAGAGCGTCGACATACATCCGGGACTCAAATGAACGAAGAAAGTTCTCGGTCCCATTTGATACTCTCTGTCGTGATAGAGAGCACAAACCTTCAGACGCAGTCTGTTGCAAGGGGAAAGGTGCTTTACCGGCCATTTGTATATTGTTAGCTTATCAAATGTATGTTTGAAATTAACTCTCTTGACTATTTTTTGCAGATAAGTTTCGTGGACCTTGCTGGTTCAGAACGGATCAAGAAATCAGGCTCCACCGGGAACCAACTGAAAGAAGCTCAAAGCATAAACAAATCACTCTCTGCTCTAGGAGATGTGATCAGTGCATTGTCCACCGGTGGCCAACACATTCCGTACAGAAATCACAAGCTGACCATGTTGATGAGCGACTCTCTGGGTGGTAATGCCAAGACCCTCATGTTTGTAAATGTTTCCCCAGCTGGATCGAATTTAGATGAAACATACAACTCCCTCACGTAAGCCACTATACTTGAAAGCTTGGACATTCCCATGAAACCAGTCTAGCCACCTTTATTCAAGATTCCTCATTATTTATCCTGCTTGAAACCCACTTGCAGGTATGCATCACGAGTACGAGCCATAGTGAACGACCCAAGCAAGAACGTTTCGTCGAAAGAGATAGCTCGGTTGAAGAAGCAAATAGCACACTGGAAAGAGCAGGCGGGTAGAAGGGGAGATGAAGAGGAGTTGGAAGAGATTCAAGAACAGAGAACTCCAGCTAAAGAAAGGTCCGACGGGCGATATTCCCTGTGATATCCAAAAACCCTTGTAAGGACGGAAAACTCTCCTCACCATATGATCTCTCTCTCTCTTCCTCCCTTGAGGTTCTTCAAATTTTTTTGATTGTTTCTCACTAATCTTCTCCCCTGAAAGAAAATGATGCTATCATTGGTTGTATCATTATCTAAAATTGTCGGATTAGTAACAGTAAGTTGAATGTAGCTTAGAGAAATCGTATCTAGATTGTATAGATAGAAAACTTGGATACACTATTTTGTACATAAAGATAATGGCTTCAGAACTCCAGGGAGTATCTTCTGCAGAATTTGGCTTACATGTCTCGTTGACCATCAGAACTTAATGGTCAATACTGAGTTAAAGGGACATATGTTTGCTTAGAATGTTAGATGCTATTAAAGAGATGGGACTTCTACTTAACTCGTGGTGATACCACTAGATCAATTCCTTATTCGCTTGATAATTATTCTATCCTATAAGTCGTAATATTTAGAGCATGAAGGACATCTTGCTCTTACATTACATGTATGAAAATTTCACTCAAGTTTGGATTTGATCAGGTTTATCCACTTTGATCGGTTCGAGTACCTATGAATTCGTGTTCAATTGACATCCCTACGGACGAGGCAATATCGAAACTGTAGGAGCTGAATGCGAAAGGTATGGTAGTGGCTGAAAACATTATGGCTGCAGAGTAAAACCAAACAAGATAACACTTCTAAGTCAGTCATCCAACAAAAGTCCAAGGGTGCCAAGTTAAGCTTTGTATACCAGAGAAACCAAACAGAGATCTGAGAGAGTCGATAGCTAAAGAAAGTTCCTCTGGAAGTTGGCCGATGAGAACCGGGAAGTCAAACCTTGAGCCATGTTCTCTGCATCGAGCTTCACATTCAGTCTTCCAGCTGAAAGGTCCTTCTCGCGATCCCAGGGCTTCCATGGATGCTGGCCCGACCACTCGTCTTTCTCGGTTTCCTTTCCCTTCGGCTTCTGCTTCGATGACTTCTTCTTAGTGCGATCAACCAATTCCTCTTGATGCTTCTGCACCAAGGACTTCGAGCGCTTGGCCTTGTTATATTTGTCTACCAGATCCGCATCTTCATTGGATCGTTTCTTCTCGTCTTCGTTCGAAGCCAATGCTGCGGCTGCATCGTAGGCTTCCAGGTAGCTGCAGCATAAAAAGAAAGGAAAAAAAGTAACAGAATCAGCCATCGTGTTCGTGGTCAGATACACAAAAGCGTCGTTGTCTTGGATGCTTACTTCATTTTCGCCCTTTGGGCTCTGTCTGAAGGAGTATCTGTCCATGCGCTAGTATCACCGCGACCTTCTTTACCGCCCTTCATGCTGAATGTTTTGGTCGAATGATTGGGCACCCCACCAGCCTAGAATGAAGGAGGGAAATAACAGATGAGTCATGATTCAGGATCCTAGACACTCATATACGGACGTGAGCTTGTGCTTCAAAACTAACTTCTAAACCACATCAAAATTTTCAGGGATCGTAATTTGATTCCCGAGATCCCAAGAAGACAAAAAAATGAAGATATTTAACCCAACCCACGCACCAGGAAACCCATTTTAACTCAAGGGTACAGTTGAGAGAGTACTGGGCAATAGAGGCTTACTTTCCTTTCTGGTGGTAGCGTTGTCATCCATTCATCTCTTTTTGGAGCTTCTTTAACCTCAAGCTCTGCCAGAAGCTCTGCATCACCCTCCAACATTATACCTGCCACATAACAAACAGGGATTCTACGTTTACTATGAAGAACGCAAAATTTGTTCAGCTCAACACTGAATAAAACAAATTTGTTTCACTCAATCAGTCAGATAATTTACATATCCGGGGATGTACCTTGCAATTTTCTCCAGTGAGCTGCTTCACGCATAGCTTTCAACTCAATCTGAAGCAGAGGACAATTTTGTTTTTGGTTAGCATACTTCATTTGAAGAAAGTTAATAACAGACCAACATATGACAGAAAGCTCAGACAGACCTTAAATGCTTCCAGCTCCTCCTTCTCCTTAATTTTCTCGTCCAACACTTTTCGCTGAAATCAGAGCACAAAAGTGAAACACACAGTATTTCACAAACATCACAGCACTGGAAAACAAGAATGGATAACCAAAGGAGAACGAGGATTGCCTTTATAGTTCTAGGATTACTCAACAAAACAAGAATACAGGAAGAAGTACGCAAGAGCAGACCTTGTCAGTATCTTGCAAATCCTTAAAAGCTTTATTCAATTTGACAAAAGCTTGTTGGGCTTGAGGATGAGAACACTTGTCTGGATGCACCAGAAGAGACAGTTTCCAGTACCTAACAGATAAACACCATTTTATCACAAAATCAGCATATACTTGACCAATTTATCAATTCCTGAAAAGGTGAAAAAGGGAGAAAAGAAAAAACATGTTCGGCGAATGCACAATGTCACAGAACAGAATTCCAGCTTATTGGCACAACTACAGCAAGGTGGTATCTTAACTAGCAAGAAGTCCCTTGAAAATTGGGAAATTATGAATTAGAAGCTTCAACGATGTATGAGCACTATGCATATTAAGTTATGTACAAAAGTGACGACTACGATACATGATGCTTGTGGCCATAGGTTGGTTAACTAGGTGCATGAAGCTAAAATCATAAACTGGATGTTTAGATAGTAATAAAAAGCTGTGAGCAAAAACTAAAACCGCTGAAGAGTGTCAACTACTTACCTTTTCTTTATATTATCAGCAGACATTTTATGGTTCACCCCAACAACATCATATGGAGAATCATCACTGCTATCCATAATTCTTGTAACCTGATCATGAAAGATAAAAGTTAATGACACGTGGCAATTTATCTGATCCAATTCAGAGAGGAAACTCAAGTAAAATTATCAATTTCCTTTGAAAGTAATCAGTGGTTAATGATTGGGTAATGTAACTTCACCCAACTGTGAGAAGGTCTACTATGTATATGATACATTGTTCCCTGCTTTTTTTTAGCATTTCATAGGCTACATCTCATTCTGAATAACAGACATAAAAGGACTACAATTATATCTGCAGCCAGTAAGAGAATCATAAATGATCAAAAAAGTATGAATATCCAATATAGAAATTAAAATTTCAGAATTGGTGGCAGTATTTCGCACATGCAAGTTGAACACAAAAGGAGAGACACTGACATAGACTACTGACTAAGAGTAAAAGGAGGGACCTCTTCATAACGTTCTGCCTCATTTGCAGCTGCAACTTCAGCAACAACAGCCGGTGGGGGAGGTCCAATAAAAAATTCATCATCTTCATCCATCTCTACTGACCTGGAAAAGTTGCCAGAAACAACCAGTCAATATCAGTAGTATATGTGAGTTAATGTGAGATAAACCCTAACGAAATAGAGTATCATGACAGCCGAAATTAAATTAAAGCGACAAGAAGATTTAGGGCTGTACCTAAGCTCCTCTTGTGCTTCAGTTAATTTCGCAGCTGCTGCAAGTAACTCAGATGATGGCATTTCAGGCCCAATCACCCTGAAAAGAAAGATAAGTAGCGGAAGCACAGGTTCTTCATTGCAAAGACATAATACAGGAATGCTGCTATGTAAAGTATGCAAGAGCCTATATTCATTAGCACCATTTAAATATAACCTATCAAAGGGAAAGGCTCCTATGAATCACACTCATCAGCCATTGGGCCTCCTAATGATGGAGGGATCAGACATGAAAGACCCACTAACAAAATGAACTAGACAGGCTGATCTCCAAGAGAGAGTGACACACAATCGAACTTTCAGATACATCGAACCATTGAATCAAAGTAAGTAAACCAAACTTAGCCACTCACCTTCTTCTGGGACCAGCAATATCTGCTGAAGTCGATGGCTTCGGTGAATCACTGTCATCCAATGCTCGTTTGGACTCTTCATCCGTCCCTAACGGATGCACACCATTTTCAGTAGCAGCATCATCAGGTTGCCGCCCTTTAGGTTCCCTGTGATCCTCAATCAAAGACCCTAGTATCTCCAAAGTGGGTCGATGATTCGAAGGGAGCAGGAACACCCGATCCCCATTTTCCTTGAGCTTCAACGAAACAAAAAGCTTCTTCAAATGCTTGGCCAGCAACTTCTCTGATATGCCTTTGATATCAACAGCTTGTCCACCATCAATCATTTGTAGCAGCTAGATGAAAATTTCAGATAATCAATACAGCATGTCATCAAGATTATAAGAGTAGACAACCACAGGCTAGTGGAAAGACATCACTTATCAGAACTCCAATACATGAACTGCTGAACCTAAAATCGCATCAATGGCTCCGTAATCCCTAAACAGCTAAGATGCTCGATTACCAGAACCTAAACCTATCATCCAACATCAAATTCTAATTCTAACACAACCAAAATCAGTGAAGCTAAAATTCAACAGCTCTACCTGCTTCAAGTCGCCTCCAACGCCAGGGAACTCCTTGAGCATCTCCTTTGCTACAGCTTCCGGCTTGACTCGTCGCCTCACAGTCTCCTCGCTTCCTGACTCGGACCTGGAATCGGAATCGGAATCGGACTCTGAATCAGAATCATAACCCCTCTTCTTCTTCGTCGTCGATTTCCTTCTCCTTCTATCTCTCTCTCTTTCCTTCCGCTCCTTCCTCCTCTTCCTCTTCTCTTCCCTTTCCCTCCTCTTCTCCTTCTCCGACCGCCTCGAGCTACTATCGCTCCTCCGCCGGTTCCGTCGCTTCTCCGACGAGGTGTCCGATGAACAGTCGGTGTCATCCTCCTCGGATGTCGAAGCGGACGACGGAGGGTCGTCTCTGTGCTTCCTCTTCGTTTTCTTCCCCATTTTTTTTGGCAGATCGAAACGATGACAAGAAAACGTTCGCCCCGAAAACCCGGCCCAAAAAGTAGGTACCAGAACCCGGCCCATATCCAACAGCTCTCCCTCGTCTCCTCTATAAAATTAAAAAGAAAACAAAAAAACAAACACCATCTCCGCAGGTCACCAGCGAAGTACAAATCGCCGGAGTGTCAAATCGATCATTCGTTTCCGCCATTACTTCCCTTCATCGCTCAAAACCCATTTCATTATTCCCCTGAATTTAACTATCAAGTCACTCGCCTTATCGCTCCGGATCCGTGGAGTTGGCCCGATCGACCTCCGGTGGTGGGCGGCGGCGATTCAAGCGGTTGTGGATCATGGACAAGGAAGAGGCGGCACCGCCTCTGGTCGTCGGCGGTGGTGATGAATCCGACGACGTTGAGCTTGTACTATACAAAGTCCCCGAATGCTACGTATATCTGGTGAGAGCCGCGTGATCGTCCTCGATTCTGTGTTGTTTGGGAATTATTCAGTATGTTTCCTCAGTAATACTTCTTGTTAGCTGATCGGCGGATAGGAAGAGTTAGAGTGGAGAACTATGCCATTCCCTGTAGTTGAGTGGATATATTTCTTAGGAGGGATCAGCTAACTAGATTCTGTAAGCCACTGGCAAGCCAGGGATCACAAATATTTTTGGCCCAAGTCTTGAATTGTTTGTTAGCACGCTGAATTCGAGGTGGGGGACACCGAATTCATTGCCAAAGTAGCCATTTTTAACAGTTAAAGTTGTTTAAACTTTGAGGAAGAGAAGGGAAGAAGAAGAAGAAACGTGCAGTTAGGCCAATATTTCTCTCCCTCTTAGGACAGAATGCCGAAAGTTTCGAAATTTGGTCTCTTAAAATTTGGGAGGAAATTATGTGCGTTTGAGAAGACTGATCAAAGCCACGACTGCTTTTTAGAGTTTAAGTTGTTGAGTTGCAGATTGCTGCTTCCCTTTGATGTTTTCCAAACTTGATTTTTCGTTTTGTTTCGCAGATACCTCCAAGGAAGACTGCCGGTTCATACAGGTGTGCCTCTCCTCTTTTCAAAATGTGCTTCCTTGATTTCAAATTCTGGCACATTTAGTTAAATCTATGTTTGAATTAGCTTCCGTGTCTTTTTTAGTCTACATAATTGCCAAGATTAGAGCTGTTTTACTTCCTTCTGAACTTCTGTTTATACGTGGGTCATTCATGGCTAGCCTAAGGTCAATGGTTAATAGTCCTGCAATGCAGTAGGGTTTTTTTTTTTGCCACTAAGACAATTTTCATCAATTCCTTCTTTTAGGAAGCAACAAGCGAAAAAGGAATATCTTTGTGTTTCCCTTTATCCAGGCTTATGCAAGTGATGCTTTTGGCAGGGCTGATGAATGGGACGTTAACAAATGGGCTTGGGAGGGGCAATTGAAAGTTGTTAGCAAAGGAGAAGAATGCATTATAAGGCTGGAAGATAAATCCACAGGTTTGATACCGTTGGAGTTTTTGCCAAGGAAGAAGTGGTATTGCTGGATGTGCCATAAAAGCATTTAATATTTCCTGATGCATGTGTTGTCTTTTTTCTCCTGAATGCAGGTGAGCTATATGCAAGGGCATTCCTTAGGAAAGAGGATCCTCATCCTGTTGAACCTGTGATTGATAGTAGCAGGTACAGCCTAGATGCATTAGATATATGTTGCTGCATTTCACTTGAGGTTTGAATTTGTGTTCTCCGACAATCAGCTACCAAAATAAAATTTAGGAACTTTCTGAACAACTGTCCTTTGGTTTGCAGATATTTTGTCCTTCGAATTGAGGAAAACGTTGGTGAGCACATGTTCTGAATTAAATTTAGCTACAAAGTCTCTATGTCGATTTCCTGAGTCCTTGGTCTGAACTCACCTCTCTCCACAGGACTAGAGGATACATGATTGCTGATTCATGGGTTCCCATATTGCTGGCCAGTGTTTTTTCGCCCCTGTTCATTAACTATATTTTGTTTGCTCTGATAGTTTGTTGATAGCTTTATGCCTTTTTCTGAGTCTGCTTTCTAAGCAGTTGGTTTAATAAAAGGAAAACCTTCTTTATTGGCTTAATTTATGTAAGTTCTAATTATGGGTTTTACTGAACGTGATCTCTCTTCTAATCCCTCACTTGAGCTACCTTACTGGGCCAATTCGTGGTTTTATTTGTGCATTATATGACAATTTGTCTTGCCTTCTTGCTATTTCTCTCATCTATTTACCTATTGATAGTTGTTTACTGCAATAAATACCTTCATCTGTCGGTAATGTGAGAAAAAATTTCTCCGTTTGTGATTATCATATCTGTTGTAGTTGGTTTATTTTTTGACTTGGTGCAAGGTTCTTACTAATGATAGTAACTCTTACAGGTGGTAGACTTCGGCATGCATTTATTGGGCTTGGGTTCCGGGAAAGAACAGAAGCTTATGACTTTCAGGCAGCCCTTCATGACCACATGAAGTATGTTTGATACTGCTATAAAATTCTTTTGCATTTGGTTTCTAATATCTTTCCTATAGTTCTATAGTACAGTGATGAAGTTACTTATTGTATTATGCGGTATTAGTTACTTATTCTATGCCAATGAATCTTCAAGGTACCTGGACAAGAAGAAAACTGCAGAAGAGATGGAACAACATTTTCAGCACACTTCGGGCCTCGACTACAGTTTAAAAAAAGGGGAAACCCTTGTCCTCCAAATAAAAAATGTTAGCTCAGATATTTGTTTCTTTTTGCGTATTAAAGACCTATACTTAGAGAAATTTACAGCCCCTCATCAGTACTTTTGAATCTGATACCTGTTTTTCATTTGAATGCCAGCCAATACCCGGTCGTGGGTTCAAGTCCCAGTTTTTTGAGCAAGGTCTGAACAATCTGTCATTGGAGGAGAAGGCTGGTAGCAAAGAGCCAATCCTTAGTATTAGACCTCCCCCTCCCCCACCAGGTCCCCTTTCGCCAGTAAGGGCCATGGCCATCACCCCGACAAACTCGCCTCCAAAGCTTAATCTGGACACAAGCACCACTACGAAGGAAGAGGGGAAGGTACTGCAGTCTCAAGGGAAGATGGAAAGCATACAAGAAAACTTTGATGATGATTTTGGAGATTTTCAGGCAGCTGGGTAACTGGATTGAGAGAATCAACACCTTTACAAAACAAAAGTAAGTTGCAACTTACAAACATAGATACCTGGCATATGTAGAATTACACCTGTGGAAGAACAACTTATCTACTACATAGAAGTTGTATTCATTCATTAGAGTTAGCTCCTATTCCGGAGAAGTTTCTGCTTCTGCTTTTGATGCCATTATGTCCCTCCTGATACCCACAAGCATGCCTGCCCTTGCTATGCATAGCTGAAAACCCATGATGGCAAGTTTAAATACCCCTGAATTGGTCATCGTCGTTATTTGCTATTAGATAATACCGAGTTTCCATTACTTCCATGTGTTGGTTCTTTGGACATATGTACTACTGCTACCTTGCCCTCAATCCATCGGTCTTCTCTTCTCAATCTCTAATAATTTGCATCAGTTTTAGTTAACCAACACAACCTTTATGGTAGCTACATTCGACACCCTAAATATAATGACCAGTCGTTGAAGTCACAGACCGAAATCAACTGTAGGGAAACAGGATGAAAGGGTTCCAAAAGAAGGAAAACAGAACGGTAAATAGCTAAGGGCATTTGCGACGGCCGCTGTGAGTGGTCATGTGATAGTTGCAAGGGCAAGTGTCGTAGTTGCCGGATGTGCCCGGCAGAATGCAGTTGCAACGTTGGCAGCAGGTGTTACATGTTCTGATGCGTGTCTTGTGCCTCAACGCCTTGCTGCACCTGTACTTGCACTTCCACTTGCAATCTGCAGCCCCATTCCGAAAACAAACGTTAACAGCAGAAGTGGTTCCACATTATGCATATTCGTCTTCATAATCGATTTACCGACCTGTTTTCCCAGGTTCATGAACTACTGCGGCATGGAACCTGATCTGAAATTTTCGAGAAAATGGAATGAGACGTATATGAGATACTTTTCATTTATCGATAGATAGCTCGAACGGGAAAAGGGATAGTACCCATGTGTTTACATTGGACTTTGCTGTGGGGGATATGGTTGCTTGATGGCTATCAATATGGCTACTTCAACGATTATCTCGCAACAAAGTCCAAGAACTCGAACCAGTCCTTAGTGGGGGGCACTGAATTTCATGGGCAAGCACAACCGGCCATGATAAAACCTTAAAACTTATCAGCATCACTTTAGACATAGCAATTGCCAGAAGCGAGCGTCTCATAATTCAAAGCATTTGCAGAAGCTAATATGTCATGTGGTCTGAATTCCTCTGTTCCATGGACTTCCGGTATGAACATCCAAGGTCTTTAGATACACATATTTATTGAATCTTATTCTGATTACTAAGTCCTGCATATATCAGGCCAATGAAGATCTCTCATCACACTCATAAATGAGATATATGTACATAGCTTTGAGCGTGTGACATGTTCTCAATTCTCTACACGAAGCAGCCTTAGAATCGAACCCAGCAGCGTGTGCACTGCGCTATACAATCCCCCTTACAATCAACATTATACCCCAACACTTTCGGATTCCTCAGCAGCAGATTCTTTAGAGATTTCCCTTTAATCGCCCACACCTTTTCCAGGATCCCCACATTCTTCTTCAGATCGTCTTCGAGGCTGCATCCCATCACTTCTGGAAACTTCTTCAGCACCTTCAAGATATCATCGTCGGATAGCCCGAGAGACCTCAAGTATTCCAAGATACCATGTACTACCTCGAATCTTGGCACCTCCTGCTTTCGCTCTTCCCCCCAGTATGGTGATGGCACGTGCCCGAATGCTTTCCCGAGCATCTTGTCTTTCTCTTGAGTGTCAAAGTCGAATGCTGAGAGGACTTCTCTGCATGAGTCCCATGTAGACCGTTCTTCATCAGTCAAAGGTAGAGTTTGAGGGTCTGCTGTCGACGAACGTATTGTCCAGCTCTTGCAACGCGTGTGACATTTGGTTAATGAAAGCGGTGAAAGCGCAGTTGCTGCTGCAAGGTCACGCTGCAACAATATAAGTTTCGTTACTAGAAAATATGAAAAGTCTTGCTGCATCTATAGCTTCAGCAATGGTCTATAATGCTAGCGCTTAAACTGAAATTTTGTACTACATTCATGCATTGTGTAAATTGATTTGGAGACACAAAATGAAGCTGGACTTACATCAAGAACACTTCTACGTGTTCCTGAATTGAATGTTAGTAGAGGAGCAGCCAACACTCTTCCTACTACCATTCCTGATCCTGCAAAAGGAGATAACTCGTTAGAATGTCCTTAAAATTACATAGTCCTGGATGAGGAACACAGAAGACAAATGAAAAGAGATGCTTCACATTGTTGAAAGCACGCCACAGAGATTAACAGCAGGGAATATGTCCGAGTTGCCGATACCTATAGCCTAAACCATACAACAGGAATTACATCGATGATGAATTTGGCCTGGTAAAACAACAGATCATGTAAAAAAGAACTACGGCCTACAGCAGCCAAACTCTACATATCCAGGATCCATTACTTCAAGTAGTAAAACAAGGAAGGGGATATATTCTGCTATCACTGAAATCCATCTGAAGCCGAATTCCCACGCATCAAACGAACTTGTTGGTAAGGGTTCAACAGATAACCAACTCAAAGCAATCGGATACATTTTCAACAGACTCCACTGAACTTAACTCGAACTCGAACTCCAAGCAGCTAGCAGTAAGCAGCTGCAGAACTCCATGAACTAAAACTGTTGCAACCTCTCCTCCAATCTTGAATCAAGACACTATCAAATGACTTAACAAACTAATTATCCAAATCCGAATCATGTGAACAAAACAAGAACATTTCTTGATAACTGACATGTATATACAGTCACGAACAACTGCAACACATCCTCATCTCTAAATTCCATCTCCATATCTCAATCTTCATCTTCAGGCTAATGCAGCAACTCTTAGGAAAACACTAATCACTTGCACTCTTTCCATTACTTCCCTATCCAACGCACGCAATCAATTACGACATAAAGGATAGACAATTTCCCAATCATGATCACAAATTTGCTTCCATTTCCATTTTCAATAACCGAAAGCTCCAGAATTTGCATCTTCCCCGGAAAATTATTCAACTACCCGCCAATAAGGAAACACGAACTGGCGAAGTTACGAACAACCCAATTGAGAGCAGCCTGGAAATTTTTCAGTAACAGAGTTCAAGGTGACTGAGAAGATGAAAAATGATAGTTTTACCTTCAGATGGTAAAGAAAGGATCTTTCAGCAATCAGCAGCTTTCTTTTCCAGGTATAGAGGCAGAGGCAGAGGCTTCGTCGAAGGTCTGACCTCTTTTCTTCAGCCTCAAATTGGTTAATTTGGATTTTGCTACTTTGCATCAAATTTCTCGAGCCCAGCAAACAAAATGCCACCTGGGACTTGAATGACTGGTTGAAATCAGATGGCGGAGAGACGACGGCTGGAATTTGATCGGCTCGGTTGGGCCGGGCGTTAAGTCTGTTTATGTGGGTCAAAGTCCGACCCGAAGTAAACCCGGCCCAATTCCACCTGCGAGCGAAGCACGAATCGCCGGTGAGTCAAATCGATCACTCGTTTCCCCCTTTCCTTCTTTCTAACGTTGCTTCCTCTCTACTTCCATAGATTTCTTACCTACTCAAACTCAAACCACCATTTTTTATTCTTCCTTCTACTATTCATATTTATCTCAAAAAAAAAAATTCCCCCAAACTCCCAATCCGGCGGCTGCTCCGCCAGTTTCCTCGCCGGAATCAGCAGCCCCAAGGAAACACTTGCCTGATCTCTCCCTCTCCGGCGGTGATTTCAGTCTCACGGAGGGAAGTAGAAGGCGGGGTATGAACGCGGTTTCCGTCTTCCTCCTCCTCCTGCTGCCACCGCCAATGCTTACTTGTTGCTGACAAGATGGCTCAGTACAGGCAATCAGGTCAGCATTACTCAAACGGAGGCACCGCCGCGGATCACGTCTCCATTGGCGTTCGGGCGTCTTCTTCGCAGCAGCTCCTCCAGCACAAGGCCGGGGGTCGGGTCCGCCGATCTGGTCGATCCGATAAGAGCAGGTCCGGCAGCTTCTCCATTGGCGCCGTGGTTGTTTTCCTCTGCCTGGTGCTTGTGGTCACTGGGCTAGCTTATAATTACTTGTCTGATGAGGATAAAGGTCAGTTGCTCTCTCCCCAGCAAAAAAAGTTTTCTGATTTTGGTTGCTTAATCAGAGAGGAAATGATTTATGCGGAGTTTGGAACTCTGTTAGTGGAAGATGAATTAAGTTTAAGAGCTGACATTGGTTTCTGTCTTTAGCTATTTTACTTGCTTTGCATTGATTTAGTTTGGCTGCTATATTTGAACAGAGAGTTTAATTTATTGTTGTGAAAGCTTTGGGGGGTTTCTACTGATGTATCTGATGTGACCCATGTTTAATGTCATGGGGTTTCTTATTCCACTTTGGATGCTGTGTGATTTCGATTTAGGTGTTGGTAGTGAAATCGATGATCCTCGTGTAGAAGATGATGATACGAAGAGCGACCTTGATTTTCTTGCAAATGTGACACGGACTGACTCGGTTAAAGTCCTCGAGTTTGGTAAAGGTTCCATTTCGCATGGTAGGGATTCTAGGTACTGGGATAAGGACGATAGGAGAAGGGATGATGATTATGATGAAGATGATGTGGAGCATACAGGCAAGGGTTCTATTGGTGGATCTGCTCAGGAGGATCACAACCAAGCCAGCTTGAATGTCAAGCCGAAAATGCCCCAGAGTGTTGCTTCTAAGGGATTGGATAAAAAAGGAACTGGGTTGTACAATGAGAATGGGCGTAAAGAACTGATAAAGTATGAAGCGGAGTATGAGGCTTCGGTAAAGAATGTGGGGCAGTCGACAACTCAAAATGGTGGAAGAAGTCAGTTACTTGAGGATGAGGATCTGGAAGAGCAGAATGAGGCTGGTGATAGTGATAATGATTATGACGATGGTATTGATTCTCATGATCCTCGTGGGAATGAGCGCCACTCTGATGAATTCACCACAGAGTCCTCTAATGTATTCCCTGCTAAAGGTAAGGATCAACATGTCGGCAAAGATATTAAGGAAACTTCTCCTGGTACATCTGATAAGGGATCGAAATCAAGTTCCGTGGTAGTCAATACTGATCCGAATGCTCAACATGCAAACGGAGATGGACAGAGTTCAAGTAAATCAAGGTCTGATTCGAAGAAAAAGCCAAGGCGACGCAAATTTTCTGGTAATATTCTTGGTTTATGCTTGCTACTGAAACTCACTTGTGCTTTTGTGTTGATTGTAGAAACTATTGATGCAATTGGTTTAAATGAAAGTAGTTTGACTATGGGCATTTTGTCAAATGTTGTCTAGTATTTAATATATGTTCTATGGTGATGCATAATGGACAGGATACATGTATACTTTGAGCATATTAAGTTTCCTAATTTATTGATCTTGATATGACAGTTATAGCCTGAAAATTTAAGCTTATTATGAAAGAACCTGTGTAGTAGGATGCACTTGGTCAGGACGCATACGTTCTATTCTGTAAACCTTTGCTTCCAAAAGTCATTCTGAAATCCATGTCGGACTTTTGAGTTCTAAAGCTATCTTTGTGTCACATTCAGTGGCCTTATGTTTTAGAAGTCTAGTTCCAATCCACCCTAAGTCAGAACAATTAGAAAAATGGAGTGTGCCCCGAATAAACTATGGAAGTTGGTTATTGGAGGAACTAATGGATGATTATATGTATTTGAAATTCTTGTGATATCATACCTGCACTGAAAATCCTTTGAGTGAGTTCATAAATGTGGATTTTTTTAAAAAAAAATCTCTAAGTCTTCCTTCAGTTAAGCCATGAATTTGGTTATTGAAACTTCTGGCCGATTAGTAGTATCAGCCATTGTCTTCTGAGTTGGGAGGCATTCATTACCACCAGTGTCAGAGCTGTAGAGATAATATCTTTTTGCATGTAATGTTGATCTATATTTCCAGACAAGTGTGGGATACCCTTATACAAGGTTCTAATTTTTATGTTGTTCAACTGCCTGAGATTTATAGTTCAGAAGACAAAGAGAAGAAGAAAGGTGTTAGCATCACGGTATTAGCCCTTAGGCATATTTGCTGAACCGTGAAGTTCAGTTCAGATTCTGTTATCTCCCTTCCTATTTAAGTATATGAATATCTTTCTTTTTGGTGTCGGAATAGGCTCTTGTATAGGGTTCATGTTTGATTTGTATAATTAGCTACAATTTAGTTCTATTTGTTAGTTAAATATCTTTTTCATTGACATTAACTGCTCAAATGTGACAGGGTCCTGTGAGATGAAGTTTCTGAACTCTACTACTCGACTTGTGGAGCCTTTTGAAAATAGAAAGTTTTCTAGATTTTCCCTCCAATATGCCGACATGGAGGAAGGTCCTGGAGGAGAGGCACTGTGGGAACCTAGATTTGCAGGACATCAGAGCCTAGAAGAAAGGGAGGAATCTTTTTCAGCGCAGGATCAGAAAATAAAATGTGGTTTTGTCAAAGGTCCTGAAAGCTATCCGAGTACAGGATTTGATCTGTCAGAAGATGATGCAAACTATATCAGTAGATGCCACATTGCTGTCATCTCTTGCATCTTCGGAAATTCAGATCGCTTAAGGTCACCTTTCAGCAAGGCGGTATGTATGCTCTTTCTTGCAAGTCTGAGAATAGTAATAACTAGTGATGAACATGGTGGAGAAGAAACATAGGTGAACGACGAGATCAGAAGTTGACTGCCTATGAACCAATAAAATCGCAATGGAAGGAAATATGAAAACGTGACAGTGAGGTCCTGATTTTACTGCTTATGATCCGTAAAACCGATAGAGAGGGAATATGAAAACGGCAGAGCATTTCCAAGGATAGGAAGCAAACATTTTGCTTTCATATTGCTAATTTGTAATAATACCAATCAAGTGATGAAATTGCTATAGTGCCTTCAGCTTGAAAGTAAACTGCCACATCGTGTATTCAACACAGTTGCTACTTTGTCATGTTGGTTGTTTTCTGATATTTCCTTCATGCCAATGAATTCTAGTGGTTATGCGTTTGTGTGTTACTTCACTTCAGCAGCCAATTCTGATGCACTGACACGAATTTAACTTCACGTCCTGCCTTTTCAGGTCACTCGTTTGTCAAGGAAAAATGTTTGTTTTGTCATGTTTGTGGATGAGGCTACATTGCAGACGTTATCTTCCGAGGGCAATATGCCAGACACGGCAGGATTTGTTGGCCTGTGGAAGGTTGTACTGGTGAAGAATTTACCTTATACTGATATGCGGAGGGTTGGTAAAATACCGAAATTATTGCCACACAGGCTGTTCCCTTCTGCAAGGTGAGAACCGAAAGTAGCACTCAATGGGCATTCAAATGCATATAACGTTGTGATCAATGGCATAGATGGTGTCTTATATCCATTTGAGTTGTTAGTTGGTTGTTCTTGTCTTGGTAACTGAACCTTAAATCCATTTTTTCGAATCTGAGACAAACACGGCCTATGTCTTTTCCACTATATGCTGACTAGTGCTTGAACTTTCACCTGCTCTTTACTTTTTGATAATTCTATTATCAGAAGTAACAACTGATGCGTTTCTGTTATTACATTGATTTTGCACAGATATTCAATTTGGTTGGATAGCAAATTACGCCTACAACTAGATCCTCTTCTGGTCCTGGAGTATCTCTTGTGGCGAAAAGGTCATGAGTATGCAATTTCCAATCACTATGATCGTCATTGTGTCTGGGAAGAGGTTTTACAGAATAAAAGGCTGAACAAGTACAATCACACTGTAATAGACGAGCAGTTCGCCTTCTACCAAGCTGATGGGCTGACGAAATTCGATCCCTCTGATCCTAACAAGCTTCTTCCAAGCAGTAAGATCTGTTAATCCCTCTCTCAACTTTAGTCTTCTTTCAATTTCTTCTGACTCTATGTTTCCATTTTGATGTAGATGTACCTGAAGGATCATTAATCGTGAGAGCACACACCCCCATGTCGAATCTGTTCTCCTGTCTATGGTTTAATGAGGTTGAACGTTTTACTCCCCGTGATCAGCTGAGCTTTGCCTACACGTACCAGAAATTGAGAAGGATGAACCCCAGCAAACCGTTTTATTTCCATATGTTCAAGGTAAAACAATTGACATCAAAAGTTCATTAAAAACCATTCTCAAGCACTCAGCAGCCAACACGTAGTTAACTCGATAGCTTGATATGGTCATTTAATCTTTTGCAGGATTGTGAAAGGAGAGCCATAGCCAAGTTGTTTCGTCACAGAACAGAAGAGAAGCGACTCGGAAGTGAAACCAGGAGATGAAAAATGTGAGTTTATATTTTTTGTAGAATGAAATGCATGTTCTTGTACATTATTCATGTCTTAGAGAGAGTCGGCTCTTGTTGTGGACCGCGTGACCCGACAAACAACTTCGTGCAAGTCGATGACGATAAGTTAAGAGGAAAGGAATACATATCGAAGGCTGAGAGAGAAGTACATATTGAATTGAATTAGTTGCGGTGGGGGGGCAATGGCAAGGGGCAATCACTACTGCAACTCCATCATGTTTTTTCCATTCCTCCTATCCCCATTCTTCACTCATGCCTCCTTCGTTTCAAATGGTCACAGTACTTAGCCTTGATCCAATGATGTACTTTCTTTTTGCCTTACAAGAACATACTCCCCTTTGCTTTTCCTTTCCACTTCTAAACCGATGTCGGTTACCCCACCAGGGGGATGCAAATGTTAGGGTGTTGATTGATTGTAACAAATTTTGATGGAGAAAACTTACCACGCATCTGTAAGATAACATTCGTTCTTGTACCGAGAATACTGTCTCGAGTTATTGAGCATTACTTTGCTGCACTGCTTTGTTTTGATGGTCTGAACTCTTTGCTGCTTAGAGCAGCAGTGCAGTCATTTCTGATGTGTTCTGCAGATGATTTATGAGCCAGGGTAAGGTTGGTACCTTTTTTATGTATGTTGGCAGGAAGTTAAACATGTCGACCTGATTCTCATTTTGATGGTTGTGACTTATGACTTGTGAGATGTCCTTTTCCATTGTTTTGGTCATTTTGAAGTTGGACCTTTCTTTGGCTGCTGGCTCGTAATGGTTGGCATTTTGTGGCATGTTAAATGCTCTACTGCAACCTCTCTTTCATTTGGAACTAGTCGTCGACTACTGTTAAGTAAATCATGCATAGTAAAGTACTTGATGCTTGAAAAAAGATCTTTATGAAACTTTTATCCAGGCAGGAGTTGATAATATCAAACATTATATGTTATCAGAAATTCATGTAACCTTTAGGAAGGCAACGGCTTTTACCCATTGCTCATACACATACAATAACGTTTCAATATAAACTATACTCATGCCGATCAGAGTTTCGAGTATTTATGGTTGTTCGTGAATAATAATTTTTCTTTCTAACTTCAACTAATATATGTTGACAATTACACACGTATACTGATATTATATAGGTGAAAATTTACAACAATAAGTTATTAGAAGGAAGAAATTCAATAAAAATTAATAAAAATATTATATATGCATGATAAATAACAAATATGTTGAGAGAAAAAAATGAGCATTTTTAATCAAAATACATATGCATGTGAATAATCGGATGGGTTCGGGTTGAATAGCGAGAAAACCATTCTCACCCATCACCCGCAACATTTTGGTTTGAATTTTACCTATACCGATTAAAAATCTTTCGAGTTCGAATTTTACATTCCTCGATTAAGTAGTATTCTAAGGGATCCACGAGTATAATTATTTCTGCCATCCAACTTGTAATTTGGCCAAAATTATGCAATTTGGCAATTGAGGTAATAAAAGAGAAGAAAATGACAACATGGAAGGAAACCAAACCATTTTTAATTTTACAAGAGAAGAAAGGAAACCGAACCCTAATAAGAGGGAGAGTAAATGCTTTCAAATTCCAACACATGCACTTCCTTTCTTGTCAAGCAAACAATACCAATCAATCATTCTACCCCCTCCAATTTAATACTTTCATTGTTCATCATTTTCTGAAACTATTTTCAGAAACTATTTATACAGGAAACATATAAAATCGTATAAGTGCTGGAATCGAAAAAACTGTTATCGGAGTCTAAATCGGTTGGCGGGTTTTTAACGATCGATATGAAACTGTTGAATTATGATTGAATCACGATTTCAATATAAAACACCCAGTCGTTGATTTTTTCAATACAACCTCCGATACGATTTTATGATACTTGGTTTACCCATGATGAAACCCTATGTTTTACAATAATCACTACTGTTGTTTCCCCCTGTTTTTATTTTACCATACACTTCATCATATTCCCCCTACTTTCTACATATGGTCATTTTTAGTCACACCGCAATAAGTGAGTCGTCATTACTGCCTACCCACCACCACGGTCGACGGCTAGACATCATGTCGATTGATTCTGATATCTGCCAGTAGAAGTAATAGTGTTAGGGCCGGTGGAACAGAACGATTAAACTGTTAGTTTTCCATCTTCACTTGTCTTCTTTTTTAGGGTTTGATTGGTTGGATTAGATGGTGTTTTGTTCTCTTCTTCTATCAAGAACCAGTTGATTCTAATAATTCGAGTTGTTGGAAGAGGTTTAATTGTGGATCATATATCGTTTACTGACACCCCCCTTTAAACTCAAGCCATTCAGAGTGTTATGCGGATGGAGAGCGGTCTCGTTCATGTTCAATATTTGATTGGGAGGTCTTATATCATATCCATGATTTCTATAGAAAGTTGACATCGAGGGAAGAATTAGAAAGGAGGATTATGTCCATGTGATGAATGGATGAAGGGTAGCGCGGTGATTGGAATCGAGAATGAATAAAAGATATTTTGGGTTTTGCGAGAAAAAAAATATATAATAGAATTAGGGATTGGGGAGGGAAATTGTCAAATTGGTAACTTGACGATAGTTTGGTTAATTTTTTATTCAAATAATCCAGACAAAATACTCGAATGCAATATATAGACTCTGATTTGAAACCCTAATCGACCTACTCGACTAAACTTACTAAAATTACACTTGAATTACAATCACTATTTCAACACAAATAAATGAGTACGGATATAAATACATCAAACTATATTCATTTACATTATATTTTGGATTCCATGCATGAATAGGGATGGCAATGGGGCGGGTTTGGGGCGGGTTTGTCTAAACCATCCCCATCCCCATCTTCAAATATCCAAACTCATACCCGCCCCATACCCATGCGGGGGAATGTTCGGCAAACCCATCCCCATACCCGTGGGTTTCGGGTACCCATGGGTAATACCCGTACCCGTACATCCAACACTATTATCCAAAAATTCACAAGAAAAGTTTTAACTACAACTCTAAACGTACCTATTATATCACGAATTCAACAAAACACGATCATTTTCTTAATATGGTTCAAAGAATATGATCCTAAAACATTCATTAATACATAATATAGAGTATAATATTTTTCAAATTATTATGTTCTAACTCTTATACATCTACTAAGTAATAATTAACTAACATAATCTTGTTGACAAGGGGGAAAGTGAAAGAGTGAAAGGAGAATTGAGGGAAATGAATTAGGTTTTGATTAAAGTGGTCACTCAATTGCATTTCTACTATTTATTTCCTTGAGTTATCCTCATCACCATTGATAGATTACAATTTGAACCACGTGTTTTTGTATATGTGAAGAAATTCTCTTGGTGGAGCGGATATGGGTATGGGTATGGGGCGGGGAGGCTAAAACCATACTCGCCCCATACCCATCAAACTTTTTGCGGGTTTTACCCATACCCGGTCAAAGCGGGAATTACCCGCATTGACTGGGTCGGGGGATCGGGTACCCGCGAGCATGGGCTTGATTGTCATCCCTATACATGAATATGGATCCGTCGGTGCACCAAAGATTTTGGAGCTTTTTGCAACGAGATTTTGATTGCTGGACGGCTAAGCTTCCACAGTGGTCATTAAATGATCAATTGCGTGAGATATATGGCCTGCGATTATTATTACTACTATTGCCCTCCATGCCCAATCCTGTTTTTTACTCAGTTTGCTTCTCTTTCAATTTTTGTCGGTGTATTTTTACTTCTATTCTCTCCATGTCTAGAGGGTCAACTCCATGCATGCATATATACCATAATGTTCATAAAAAAGAAAGGAATAAAAAAAAAAATCTTCATACATTCCATATCTTACATCCAATGTCTTAGAAGAAAACACTATTTTGGTCGTTGAGAGTTAATGGGTTGGTCACGATAATCCGAATCGTGTGACAAGAGAGATTGATGAAGTATGGATCATCTATCAAGTCTTTATACGATCTGCCAAATGTTAATTTGTTTTGTGGGTTTGAAGTGAGAAAAAAGTTTCTTCTATCGAAGTGATGAGTACTTCCTATCTTAATTATTTGAGTCAAAAGATCTAGACCTTGATTGGTTGGTGGGATTCGAAGTTGGAGACAAAAAGATTTTTTTTTTAAAAAAAATAGAGGGATTTAAAAACAAATATGAGGTTGGTGTCCTAACTTGTTGACTTTTATTCAATATATATGGTTTTCAATTTTAGCACTCTCTTGAGGCATTGTGTTTCCATTTGCACACTCTGAGTGTCCACTAGTTGGTAGTCAATCTATGAGTGGTTCTTGGAGTTGACCATCTTGGACCATCGGTCCGCATTAATAATGATGACTCTATGTTCGTTTTTGTTTTGTCGATGATATTTGATGAAATTATTTCGGAGATGATCCCTTTTGTACGATTTTTTTTTCTTCTGTTAATATAAAAGGAGAAGTAGTCTCGATTGATTAAAAAAATATTTTTGAATGGTTTAACACTTGGCTTTAGAAACAAAAGTTCGTGAAAGTTCTTCTGAAGACAGATTTCTCACTTGCGTATGAGTTGGATAGACACATCCAATGAGTTCCGTTCAAACTATACATTGGTAGTAACCATCTATCAAATTTCGTGTATCAGATTTTTCGTAATTGTAATATTGACGGTCACGGATCTCATTAAACAATAACAACAAACTTGTTCTAGGTCTAGTGACAAAGAAATAGAAATTGTGGCAAAACTCTTGAGCAATCAATCCTAACATAACGGCACCTTCTTTCCTTCGTTCATGGAAATCTGCTTCCTTTGTGCTTATGATTTAACTTAAGGACAACTCCTTAGTTATTATATTTTCCTCTTTTTTCACTGGTATAAAGAGAAGGGCACAAATCCGAAAAGATTAAATTTTTACGGTCTCAATTAGTAAGAATGATAATTGAAATTATAATCGTGTTTGCTCTATATCACCTTATTATTCGGATGAATTAATCAATTATTCATCTTAAACATTCCAAACTTATACAAATGTAATATTCGATTATTTCAGAAGGTGAGTATGCTTTGAGTACGTGTTTATTCATGTCGGTAATTTTTTTTTAAAATAACAACAATGGGATTTTGTGGTATGGAAATCAAGAACTGATGAGTCTGAGTGAGTTGACAATGTGGGTTTGAGAATTAAATTGGGTTGGTGCCAGATTTCATATTTGGGGGGATTGAGAATCAATTCAAGATCATATCACCCTGTTCCCAAATATTTTACAAAACTAAAAAAAATTAAGGGCACCTTTCTTATCTCTATTGTCCCACTAAATAAATTTATGTGTCCCCATAAGCAATAAGCCCTACTCTTGCACTCAATCTGAGTTAGCCAGAATGTTACTAAATAGTATTCGAATCCTCTAAATAGCACTTAACAATAAAAACAAATATATACCAGCAGTTAATTATCTTTTTATATAAAAAAATCAATCAGACTCTACAACCAGATTACCGAGTTAATTAGATTATACGATAAATTATAAAGCTGTAGATTTCTACCACGATCATTGCGACTTCATCAATCACCATTAAGAATTTTCTTCTAGATCACATAAAATTTTAAATGTGCAAACATCAATTGTTGGGTGAGCCATAGCCCATACCATACATTAAATTCATCATGGAAAAAAAAAAAAGTGGGGCCGTTGTGAACTTGAGTTACTTAATCACTTATGGCTCTTGAAATAGAGTTATGCATAAGAATAATTTCTCATTTGAGTTAAGTAACCCAACAAACCATATGGGAATTGATTTGTAACGAGAATGTGGTCTTCGATTACCTAGATTTGGTACGTAATTGAGCAGACTTATTACAAATATGGGCTATTTTCGTCGACTGGGTTGAGCTAGGAGTCAAAACTCGATAATTTTGATTTATAACTAAGTGACTGTGAGCTATTAGAAGAAAATATAAAATGGACACACAGTGATATCGATCGAATAAACTCGACGCCCACTCGAGCCATAGACCAGTTAGGGCAAGCTCAACTTGTTGGCAACCAGCTGAGCTAGCTAAGAGTTATCAAGTAATCAAAACAAGATAAACAAAGTGTTAGCCAAAATCAAGAAGAAGAAAACAAACATATATGTGAAAAGGCTTGCACTTGGGAACAAAAGAACACTTTGAAGTACTCTTATGTCTTCTTCTGAATCATGTGCCCGTGAATTATATCGCTGACAAATGCCAAAGCTAGCTAGACCTGTGATTAGTTTGTGAGTCAGATTAATTAATTGTCATAACTAAGAGATTACAGGCAAATGGAGATACTAATCCATACTTAATTAACCGGGTAAATACAATTTAATATCCAAACCTTTTATTTTAAACAATATAATAGCCAAACCTTTTCGAAAACAATCTAATATCCAAATCGTCAACTTTTTGTCTGTTTGACCGTTAGTTGACACTTCAAAAAAGTTCGAAGTACGACACTTCATCAATATCCATCGATATCTTCTCTGAAAAACCACCAACATATCGTAGTTCCAAACCCGAGAAGTCTATGACTCCACCATGATGGTATAGATTATCTAAATATTCAGTCATCTACAATGCCAAAACAAGAAAACAAAGTTGTATTGTGACAATTTCCCCTAAACAAAGCTTTTTGAAGTGTCAACTAATGGTCAAACGAACGGAAAGTTGACGATTTGGATATTAGATTGTTTTCGAAAAGGTTTGACTATTATATTATTTAAAATAAAAGGTTTGGATATTAAATTGTATTTACCCTAATTAACCACATAAACAAATATCAGATTGCATATATCACGAGCTAGCTAGCTAGCGTACGTATTATATATAAAGAAATTAAAAGAAAAGAGATCAGTACTAGGCTACTAGCTAGGCAACTAGCTAACGTGATCAATAATTTGTCTTTAATCATTTTGCTTCCCGTGGATATACCACTTTTGTATAGTATCTCTCTATTGGTTTTCTAACCAGTTTACTAGGTTTGTCAAATCGTATGGTAGGTTGTATCGAAAAAGTTAGTGATAGAGTATTATTGTATGTTGAAATCGTGATTAACCACACAGTTCAATCATTTTATACAACCAAAATAGTCTATTAGTTTAGACTCTGGTAGACGGTTTTTTCTAGTCAGACCGCCTATATATACAATACGTGTTTGGAACGAAACTATAAATCGACAATACAAGAAAGGAAACAAACACACGGATTTTTTTTCGTGATTCACCAACACGATGATATGTGTTAGATAATCCACTAAAAGAATATATCAGTTTCACTATACTTGAACAAATTCAGATTACATAAATGGAAAATGTATATATAACACTTTTTGTTACACCATTTCTAATCATAATACAACCCAATAAAGAAAAAAATTATAGATCATATCCAAAATTATAATAAAATATGTTATATCTCTTCAAAACCTAGCAACAATATGGTTTTTGAAAACACAGGTTTACTGACTCTCACGAAGTCACATGGGAAAATTTGGTTAACGTAAGCTTTCACTCACTGTCGGTCAGAAAAAACACTCTTTTAGATTCCCATTGTATTAAGCAGCACATTATCCCCACTAATTATCACGTGTAATACAGCTCAAAACATCGGTTACTTGTCTTTGTTTCTGTTCCTCGACTCTTCATCGATCTCACTCACATATGTTTCATAGTCTGTTGCCTCGTCGAGAACCAGTTCGTCACAATAATTCAAATATTTGGTGTATGATCGATTATTAATTTTATATTATTATGTTACATATGGGTGGCAATGAATTTGTCCATGAAAATTAATATTTTTTTAGTTTTAAGGGTGACTTAAGTTTGTTTTGATTGTTACGTGCTAATTAGGGGATTCGAACATGTAACATATAAGTTGAAGACAAGTGGTAGTAGTACCACACTAAGCCAATTCCTTGTCCATACTAGAATTGTACTCTATCGATCTATGGATTGAATCGAGTTAGATTCAATGTAATATGATTTGGTTTCTACGTACACCATGATTTACCTTAAATACGGAGGAAAAATGGATTGACATTGAATTTGAAAGGGCCGGGACAAATTAATCCACATGAACTAAACGTCCTTTTCGATAAGAGTTCGATCCTCATTTTCCTTTGTGTTTTGGTTCACTAATATCCGAATTCTCCGACTCCACGCATCCAATCGTTTAAATAGAGTCAAATGCTATTATGTCGTTGTGTCGAGAATCAGTTTGTCATAATTACTCGAGTTTTGAAGCAAAGACTAACTATGAATAATTGAATGTTATACAACTCTTTATCATTAATCCCAACTCACAGTAGTACTTAATTACTATTAAATAAATTTGTTTTCATGATGATTAGGCATCCCCAACGTATGACTTCTGTATTGATTATTTGATTTAATGTGGTTAGCCAATTGCCTAGCTACAGGGGTGAGCTTAGCTTAGCGTTATGATCATGACGAGGAGACTGAAAGTTGGAACGGTTAATTGTGATTTATTAATGGTTAATAGTTATAAAAAATATATTAAATATTTGAAAAAATTTACATTAGAATTCGAGACATCCCAAGTTATAAATGGTGGTAAATTACTGAACCTACTCAACAAATGAAAAGTGGAATCTCAATATTCTATCTCAATCTCAATAGGATTCCAACTCGTTGGTATGAATTACTCAAGTTATTGAAAAATTACAAAATTATTTTTTGGGTTTATTTATTTCGAGAATTAGCATGTAGTTCTATACATTTTAACCGTGATTATAAGTTTTATTCTTAGTGAGCCATAAATATTTTTATAGCATATCCCATTAAGCCAAATCTTAGACTTGTATAATTATTTCTTACAATTCCAATCAGTGGTGGATCCAGAGATTCTTAGTAATGTTTTCGGTAGGGGTCGGAGGAGTGTCTTAGCCCTGCTTGTTTGGACGCTCAAGTCCCAATGTCAACCTCCCAATAACCCATATTCGATCGTTAGTGACAAGAATTTGTCGAATACGTTGTTTCATAATTTATTTAACGACAACATCGCTCAAGTTATGCTTGTCGAATGGATTTTCGTCATAAGAGCATTTTTTGCCAATGCTAGACTTTTACAGAAAGGAAGAAAATGCAAGTAGCTAGCAAATTTTTTGACATGTAGAAGCTTAAAAAAACACATGATCAGTACCATCACTTCACTCCATTCAACATACAGATCATAATCACAGCATTATTATACAATAATGAAAAGCCTATTTTGGAAATTAGTACTAATTTATACATCTAATTAAAACACAATTATATATTGACATTAATTATATTAGCCTTTGTGTCCTTTTCTTAGAAAATGTGGGGAGTGACAGGTTTCTCATATGCTTCATGTCCCTTCCACCTCTCCCACATGACAACATTACACCAAATTAAAAAAGACAACAAATATAAAAAGAGAAATAAAAAAAAAAGTCGTTGCCAAATCTTTTACACGTCGATGACATTAGAAACGACGGTCGGACCAAGTACTCACCGCCGGCGACTGAGCAGATCGTACGACGCCCTCGCCGGCGACGACCTCGGGAGGTAGACAATGGACTCCGACACGGCGCACGTCCGCTTGCACGAAGCATACATCCCGACGAAACCGAACCGGTCGCTAATGCTCCTCCCGACCTTTTCCCCACCACCACTCCTCAGAAACTCCTGGTCGTCGCTAAATCCCCCGTCGCCTTTGGAGCACTCCACCAACGCCGCGAAGAACGGATCGCTCGCCACGACGAATCGAGACGAAGACGAGGTCGAGGCCCGCCTGATCCTGCTCGGCGAATCGAAATCCAACCTCCGGGAGGCGGCCGTCGGGGTGATCGGCGGCGGCAACGGTAGGACCTTTAGCGACGGATTGGGTACCGAGTCGTCGCTAATTCCGACCTTTAGCGACGGGGAGTCGGGTTTCTTGGGGATTCCGGGTTGTTTTTCCCAGGAGAAGGGGACCCGGCCGGAGGAGTGGTGGAGAGGGGTGGTGGGGAAAGAAGGGGAGTCGTCGTTAAAGGTGGAGGAGGAAGAGGATGAGGAGAAGGAAGGTGTGCGCCGGGATTTAGCGACGGCATTGGCGGTGGTGGGGAAAACGGCGTCGTAGAAGGGAGAAGAAGAGTCCATCTTGGGTTTTTGAGAGGAGGAAAATGGGGAGGAGGAGAAGAAGGAAGAGAGATTTAGTAGCCTTGTTGTTTTCTTGTGATGAGGAGATGGTTTTGGTGGCTTGGATTGTTGTTGTTGTTGTAGTAGGAGCTTCTCTTTCTCTTCTTCTTCTTCTCCTTCTTCATCATGAGCTTTATGTATGTTCATGTTGGCTATAGTTTTGGGCCTTCTCTCTCTTTATCTTTTGTTTTTTAGTGTATTCTATTTGTTTTCTATATGTAGTTTTTGATTATGTGGGGATTTTAATATGGGAGTAGTGGGGAAGAGAAGGATGGGGGAAAAGAAAAAAATTTGGGTTGCTTGTTGGATTATTTTTTGGAGTTTATATATAAAGGGAGGGTTGGGTTGGTCGGGGAATATTAATTATTTTTGGGCATCCATTTTAATTATTGAATTTATTAAATGTTCAATACAATTTTTTTTTTTTTTTTGTTAGGAGCATGGGAAGTTGTTTCGTAGCATAGATTTAACCATAACCAAGTATCACATAGAAATCGTCATGTTTAGAAATCTACACTAGTCACTATGTATAGATTGTGAAAAATACCAAGTTCGTTCTGTTTGATGGACAAATTGGATATGGGGGGTGTTTAGTTAGACAAACCAATTTTGTGGTGGATCTGCCTTTTTTTCTTTAATACACAGTCTTTTCTTATTGGTGAATATGTTCTCGATGTTCTTGATAGCGTCATTCGTTATTTATTGTATTTTGATCAGTGGATTGAAAACACCTGAATTAGTGTAAGTATCAGAAAATAATAGTCTTTTAGCATTGTAATTTCTGTGAAAGAAATATGTCATTAGAGTGAAACTTATAGACTAAAAAATAGTAAGTTTGCAATGTGGGATCCTAGAAGATAGGGAGAATAACTCTACATCTCACGAAAGGCTGCACTCACACATGATAGATCGAAGTATATGGAGGATTACCAAAACCAATTCATTAAGCCTTCAAGATCAATCTCGAAAAATGAAACCAAAGTACTTGAGCTCAACTTATATGAAGCTCTTCAAGTTACACATACAATCTCCAATTGATTCGAGAATTAGGGTTCATACCAGTTTATCCAAAAACAAATTCAAGTTGTTGAGATTCATTTTTATGCTGGTGTTTGAGTAATATAACTTTGGAGTGAATCACCTCTCCTTAAACCACCTCATCCACCAAGTATATGAGTACATAATTTATCTTTTGGTATGCAAAGTGCAATTTTAGGTACACCGGGAGTTGTTGATTATTTATAGGTTTTGTGTACACTTACTACTAAGTACATATTCAAAATAGTACAACAATTACGCCAATTCTAGAACACTCTCTCTCTCTCATTTTCAAAATCCTCCGACCTCTCTCTAGAAAGTAGATCCCCTTCTTCTTGGCGACTGAGAGGGCTGCCGCCGGCGCCTCTCCGGAAAACGGCGGCGGCCCTCCGCCCCCTTGCTTCCTTTTCTTTTTCTTCTCCTTTCTTGCTCGGCTTGCTCCGCTTGCTGTTTTTTTTCGTTCCTTTGTTGTCTTTGTTTCTCCTTTGTCGGGTCTCCTCCTTTTCCCTTTTGTGGGTTTCTTTCTCCCCTTGACTGGGATGATCTTTTGCCCTCTGTTCTGGTGACTCAGAACTAGAGATGTTGTGTCCGATCTAAGTTGCATGGAGGCTAGATCTGCCTCAGATCTAGCTTGTCTTCTCCTTTTCGTTGCCTTTGTATTCCTCCTTGTTCTCACCTTGCAGGTCTAGGTGGTTCGGAGATGTCGCCTTTGGCGTTTGACTCGGCGCGGAGAGCTTGAAGACAGAAGATCTCCATCACTCTGCTTCCTCCGTCGGCCGATCGATCGATCTGTGGTGTTCCCCTGAGTTTCAAGCAGAGGGATGCGTTTGGTTGATTGGCTCGGGGTGGTTGTTTGGAGGGTCTCCTTTCACATCCTACCTACCGAGATGGGTGGGAACCTGCTGCTATTGTTGATGGTTGGAGGCGGCGTTGCCTGGTCACGACGGCGGGGATTACAGAGGGGTGAAGGTGGAGGCGGCTAGGGTTGGGGGAGTGGGAATGTTTTTGGGTCCTTGGCTTTGGGCCCTATTGGGTTCCGGGTCTTGTTTTGGGCCCTGCTTTCTCTTTTTCCAATCCATGTTGTCATTTGCTTGTATCTTTTCCATTGGGCCTGGCCCGTTGCAATCTTAATGAACTCTATTTTTTTAAAAAAAAAGTGATAAAAAATAACCTAAATACAACACACTATTGTATAGATGTATAAGTAACAATCAAGCCACTTATAATTAGGAAATATTAAGAAAAGGGTTGATGGACTATCCAAAGAAAAAGCAGAATCTGCACACCTATATGCAACTATAATTAATCATAGAAAAATGGATTTAGTGAGATTCTTTATATAATTACCTACATGTTTGTACATGTGTGTCTATAAAATTAGACGCGCAATTCGTGCATTGCCATATTATATAATGCCATCAATAATAAACAAACGAAAGGCAATAGAACGAAAGGAACAAATTGATTAAAAACCTCAATAAAGAGAGTTATGGCATCGTTGACAGACAAATATAATTGACCCTACAACATTATTGGCCGATGGTGGAGAAAAGAAAGAAAATTACTTTCTAAAAGTACAAAGAAATAAGTCTCTACGAAAATGAATGACGAAAAATATTCGTATTATCATAAATCAACCGGTCTCAATAACTCGAATTGTTGAACCGAATTTATTTTTGAGTAAATTATTTCCCATCAATTAAAATTCTAGATATCTCACTCCCCTAATAATAATAATAATAATAATAATAATAATAATAATAATAATAATAATAATAATTTGATTTCACCACCCACATTCATTAATTTCCACCGGAATTTGTTTTGATGTTAGTGCGCCGGGACCCGGATGGCCTTCGATCTCTATTCATTTCACCATCATATTTTTCTAGAATTATATCATCGCTCAATTTTTCCACCTATTTTGGTTAATAATTTACGTGCTTGGTATATAAGATAAAGATCATATATACACACACTCGATTATTTTATTTTCTCATATTACTAATTATATTAATAGGCTAATCCTTTTCATGCTAATAATAACAACAACATCAATATTGAATTACTTACGCGTGCACTTCTTTTATTGTCCTACAGTTAATGGCGTAATTAACGACGGGGTTTTCACTCGTTTTCATCCCAATAAGTAATAATAAATCACCAATAATAATATGTTAGAAAATGTCAGATTTCTGATTAATTCCTCTTTTCTTGATTGAAAGAACGAAAAACAATCTTACATTGTTCAGCCAGAGTAGCTGACTTTTATACTATTCCTACATAGCAGACGAATTAGTTACAAGTCTCTAACTAACCTAGCTAAATTACACATTGGTACCTAACCTATTTACATTCTATCTACATAAGTTTCTACCTATTACAAATTGATACATACTATCTCTAATACCCTCCCTCAAGCTAGACATGAATAGATTTCATGTTAAGCTTGGAAATCAAATCAACAAATGTATGAACTGGGAGGGCCTTTGTGAACGGATCTGCCAGCTGCAAGGTTGTGGAAATGTGCTGCACTTTAAGCTTGTTTGCAAGAACCTGGTCTCTAGTAAAATGGCAGTCGACCTCTATGTGTTTTGTACGTTCATGCTGTACTGGATTCTGTGTCATTTTTACTGCAGAAAGGCTGTCACAGTAAATGGTGTGTGGTTGTTGTGGTTGAACAGGTAGCTGAGTGAACAGAGCTGTCATCCACTGGAGTTCTTGAGCTGTGTCTGCTAATGCTCTGTACTCGGCCTCGGCAGAAGATCTTGAAATTGTTTGCTGCTTCTTAGAACGCCAGCTGATGAGGGAATTACCTAAAAAAACACAGAACCCTGTTACTGATCTGCGAGTATCTGGGCAACCAGCCCAATCAGAATCTGAAAAAGCAGTTAAACGAAGGGAAGAGTTGGAAGGAAAGAACAATCCACGCGCAGGAGTGGTTTTGAGATAACGCAACAGTCTGTGAGTGGCTTGTTCATGGACTGTGGTTGGAGAGTCAACAAATTGACTGAGCTGATTAACAGTGTAGCAGATGTCAGGGCGTGTAGTGCAGAGATACTGAAAACGACCAATCAAAGTTCTGTAACTGCTGTGATCTGTTTCATTTAGTGGAGTTCCATCTTTAGCAGATAAATGTGTACCAGGGGTGGATGGGGTAGTAGTTGGTTTGGAAGCTAGGAACCCTGTATCAGATAATAAATCTAGTGTGTATTTCCTTTGACACAAATGAATACCACTTTCTGATCTGGAAACTTCCATGCCAAGGAAGTATTTAAGTGGCCCAAGGTCTTTGATTGTAAAAGCAAGATCTAACTGATGTTTGACATGTTTAATTTCTGTCATGTCATTTCCAGTTAAGATAATATCATCAACGTAAACAAGAAGGGCAGTAAATGATTTATTGTTGTGTTTAGTAAACAAAGAGTAGTCACAGTGTGATTTCTGATAACCTAAACCCTCTAATGTGGCTGCAAGTTTAGCAAACCATTGGCGGCTAGCTTGCTTGAGGCCATAAAGAGATTTAGTTAGTTTGCACACTTTGTTTTTGTCAGCAGGAGCTACTGGAAGGCCAGGTGGCAGTTTCATGTACACCTCTTCATTGAGGTCTCCATGAAGAAATGCTGTGTTTACATCTAGTTGTTCTAGATGCCATTTGTGTATGGCTGCAAGGGCTAAAAGAATCCTAACAGTTGTCATTTTGACTACAGGAGAGAAAGTATCCAAATAGTCAACTCCAGGTGTTTGTGTGTAGCCTTTGGCTACTAACCTGGCTTTATATTTGTCTATTGAACCATCCTGTTTGAATTTCAACGAAAAACCCACTTGTTTCCAATGATTGGAACATTGGGAGGAGGATCTACAAGGACCCAAGTTTTGGTTTTTTCCAAGGAAGCAAACTCAGAGTTGACAGCTTTCAACCA